GTATCCAGATGATGTAACTTTACTCATCATGGGTCAGTCTAAGTCAGAAAGGCAATACATGGGTCAGAAAGGCAATACAACAATGGTGATTAAAAGCACTCTAGAACCAGCCATGCTTAACACCAACTATCTATGTGACCACACTAACTCCCAGTGATAATGAACTAATGTTATAATTAGTAACCAAACATTTGTCCAGGCATTAGTTTTAAAATCATGGAATAATAATAAGTATCAGGTAATATTGATAGTAATATTCTTTTGGTTGGTGACTTGAGGAAAGGTTCAAAAACTGTTCCAAGTTTAGGATTCAACAACAACACACACAATATCCCTGGAATATCATCAGGGAGTGAATCAAACTGAATCAACTAATGAACTTAAATCAGCACTGACAGGATTATCAGATACGTGGGCAATAAACAACAAAACACGTTCATTTCCTTCACTTCTCACCCAAACACAAATTCCTGCAAACTTGTGGTGAACTGGGGAATGATTGCTGGAAAACTAACAAGCTTTTTTGGAGATGCAGAATGTTATGAAATCAAACGTGGTTATATTAGACTGACCGTTCATTAAGAGTGGTAACATAATTTAATGAATCCAGGCTAGCAATAAAATATCAAAAGATCTGCAAAGACGCTATCAGAGCACATCTCATTCAGTATTGTTTTATATGTATTGTATGCCTATCTATGTGGTGTACTGTACGCGTGTGCATACGGGGCCTCAAGATACAATGCACTTTTTACTTTTCTTCAGGGTAAAACAAGTTTGCAAGTTTCCCAAGTTTGCAAGTTTCTGCTCCCCAACGCCTGCAGCACAGGAAAGGCTGTGGGCGGGTAGCGGATCAGGGACGGGTGCACCGCCCCTCCGCCCCCTCTCGGTACTTACAAAGGAGTCGCTCACCACTAACACCACGTTAGGCGCCTCGGGCCGCTCCGGAGCAGCTCCCCGCCCCTTCCCGCTGGTCCCGGGAGCTGGAGCTGCCAGCGCCGAGGCTGCGACCACCGACACGCACAGCAGCAGCAGCATCGCAGAGAGAAGTTGGCAGCCGGGTTTCTGGGCGCCGGGCCCGCTTCCTCCCGCAGGGAAGAGGTGAGCGGGGATCGCAACTGCGTTTCCTCCCTGCGCGTCCCCCCCCGCAGAACTACAACTCCCATCAGGCTCAGAGCGAGCACATGCGCACTGGTGGGCTTCTCCGCCCTAAGTCCTGCGAAGACCTCTTAATCAAATACCGAGCAACCTAAGAGCTGGTCACTTCCAGTCACGTGGGCCGTCCTGGGGGCGGAAACGCGCATGCGCCCGGACTCCAGCCTAGTTTGTAGGAGGAGCGTCTGATCCAGGTGGGTTTAGGGTCGCCGTCGCTTTTGCAAAAGTTGGGCTTGTTAGGCGGTTGAAATGGTTGACATGAAAACGTGGAGGAGAAAGGGTCGGGGTCCGAGGGTGCTCGTTCTGCGCGGAACAAGCGCGGCGGAGTTGTGATCGGGGCGGTGAAGCGGGAGGTGATGAGGTGGCGGCGCGCCTGTCACTGACGTGGGATCGGGGCTCTTGGGGGGGAGGCCTCCGGCCGGACCCCGCGGGTGCGATGTGGATACCGGGGGGCCCCTCGAGTCCGCTCCCCCAGCGGGGTTTGCAGTCGGCCTCGTCTCACTCCTGCCTTTGCCCGTGCAGCCAGGATTTATTGCAGTCGGGTGGGGTGAGGAGCAGGCCCGGGAGGTAAGTTTCAGGTTCCAGGCAGGGAGAAGCTTGGGTGCATCCTGCTCTCCGGGCGCAGAGGAGAGAAAGGAGCCGCAGGCTCTCGGAGGAAGAAGTGTGGTTCTGTGTGATTCTGTGTGACGTGAGCGATGAGTTGACGTAAACTCAGAGCCCATTGTTTTGCTGCGGAAGAATCCCAGGCCCTTGACTGTTGAAGTTCTTTTGGGAAAATCTGGAAGAAACGGATTTCCGTCCCAGTGCCAAATTCCTGATTTCACTGTCATAGTTTCAGGTATATAACGTGTATGTCATGTTGATCGTATCAATATGACAGGGAAAGGAGGCGTTGCAGTACTTAGTTAACGTAAATTCAACACTTAATATCTGACTGTTTTTTGCACAAAATAATTGTAGTAAGGGACAAACCTTATTTAATATGTAACACTTATTCCGTTCTGAGGATTATGCTAAACATTTATTGAGCATTTACTGTGTGGCAAGTACGTTTACATGGAATATTTCCCATCACCCTCACTTGCACCATTTTGCAATGAGAAATGGACAGGTTTAAATGACTTGCCCAAGATTACCCAGGAAGCCAGTCTGAGTAGGACTTGAATCTGAGTGATCTGTATCTTCACTCACTGCTGTACTCTGTCTCTAGTTAATTACAAAATTTCATGGCATTCTCCTGAGCTTACTCACTTTTAGTGAAGCAGAATTATTACCAAGCAGCATGCCAGAGATCTGTGGTGAGTACAGATATATACACAATAGTCTCTGTCCACGAGGAACGCTAAGGGGGGGGGGGGGGGGAGTGAAATAATATTACAACATAGAAGGTGATATAGGTATGTTCTTTCATGAACAGGATGTGTTTAAAAATTTTTTCTGAGTTAATTTGGAATGTTGGACACATTTTACCATAGGAACAGTGTTGGCTGACATTTAATCAAAAATGTCCTTAATCTATGGCCCATTACTGATTCTGTGAACTGTATTTACTCTCCCTGATCTTGTTTTCATAGGACATGCATTCTGAATTCCCAGTCAGGGTGGTAGGAATACACCTTTTTTTTTTTTTTCCTTCTTTCTTTAAAATATGTTTTTAATTGACTTGAGAGAGAGAGAGGAAGGGAGAGGGAGATAGAAACATTGATGACAGAAACATCAACTTGCTGTCTTGTAGATATCAAGTCTACAATCCGGGTGTGCACCCTGACCGGGAATTGATCTTGTGACTTGGTTCATGGGTCCATGTTCAACCACTGAGCCACGCCAGCTGGGTGGAATACATATTTCCCCCCCTTTTTCTTCCCTTGAGAATGCTAGTGGGGGCAAGTGTTGAATTGGTCTGGAGTGAGATGAGTATTTTCGGTCCCCAGACACATACACTGGAAGACTCTAAGAGGCTTCTAGTCTAACTTCTCATCTGACATTCAATTTGTCCTACGTTGTTACCGCCCGTGGGTTGTCTAGTCTGTGCTTTTTCATTCCCAGTTGTGGGAAACACACTTCCTGGAGCAGCCATTCCACATCTGTACTGGTCTGATTATTAGAAGTTCTTATTTTGAGCTGAAGTCAGCCTTTCTCTACTTTTAACCATACATGCATCCATTTCTCTTCACTTTCCATGAGTAATCTCTCCTTTTAAACTACCCTTCTCACCTTTCCCCGCCTTTCCTCCCACCCCAACACCTTCCCCAGTTCCTTCAACTAGTTATTTTATGATTTCAGGTTTCTTCATTATTTTCATCACTCTCTACACATAGAGCATTTTGCTAATTGTACCCTACTTTATCAGAAAAGGAACTTTTGAGATGTGAGTGTGCATTTCTCTGTGTGTACGTGTATGTATATGTGTGTTTCCATGAGGGAAGGGGCTGCATTACATATCTAAGTCATCAGTTAAAGTGGAGGAGGGAGGGAATGTCTGGTCTAGGACCATTTAAGGCTCAGGGAATCATTTGGTCTGGCCTTGCCCAAGTATTAGGGGTGAGTTAATAAAATGTTTGACCAAATGTAGCAGGCTAATTTTTAAGTTGATAATTTTGTATGGCCCACAAATGATGTGACGAATCTCCAAATGGCCCTTGGCAGAAAAAAGATTCCTCACCCCTGATTAAAGATTTGTTTGTTAGGAATTGCTTGCTTTAGTAGAATACTTAACTGTGCAGTTCATAAAAGTCTTCAGTTGAAAGTCTTGGTCTAGATTTTAGTTTTTTATACTTCTTTTAATGTCCAGTTAGTGATGGTGGATTCAATTTAGTATTGTCTTCATCTGCAGCGATTCTGTGAAGGTTTGTTGAACATCACAATGTGACAGATATTAGGAACTAAATGGCTGGTGTAAATAGTCTTTGCTCCTAAGGAACTTCCATGCTAATTGTGGGAAGTGCGCGCGCATACACACACTTGTAAATTTAATAACAGTACAAAAGGTATCAAAAAAAGTACAGTTAATGACCATGCTGACAGCTCTGGACAGAGGACATGGATCATGGAGGGATTGAGCAACAAAGGAAAAAAGGAAGAAAGAAAAAAGTTGTTAGTTGCCAAACAAATCAAAATTCAAAACCATAAATCCCAATTGTACTTTGGAGAATACTCGGTTGCTTCACAATGTTAATTGTTGTTCATTGAAATAAATGTTTCATAGTAACATAAGTTGTAGACTTGCTGGTTTGGGTCTTTACGACTTCTCAGAGCCTTTAAAATGCTAAAATGCATGTGGCTTTCAAAGAATGACATGCATAATGTGCACTGTTCACAAAATTACTAGTCTATATATTAACATCTTTAAGCAGTTAATATTTCTTGGAATACATTTTTGGAAATGTTGGTATAGTTAAATTACAACATCTGGACTATTGTAAGATTCATCTCAGAAGACTTTATGCTTGACACTTAAATTACATGTAGCATTCGAGTACACAAGCAAATGTGGACAGGCTGAATGGGAGAGTAAAGATGTAGAGGTGGAAGCTCTGGTGCTGGTGAAAAAAGTAATATGAACTAATGTTGAAAAGAAGATTCTTCCTTCCCACTTTAGCAAACGGAGAACTACTGCTCTGGGGGAATTGAAAACTACGTGTTTTTGAGTGGGCTCTGAAAGGGAAGACCGTAGTACGCAAGAGGTGTTGGGTATGTAAGGAACTCCTTACATTATTGTAATTATGTACAGTACATCAAGGTACCTTACCTTTATTTAAGGACTTTTTTGTCCTTCTTTTTATGAGCCTAACTTTCATATTTTAATAATTTAGATGGATAACGGTTAAGGAACAATCTGAAACTCCATGCAGAAAGAAGATAGAGCTGGTGATAATAGGTAAAAGGTAAGTGCTTAGAATGCTCAATTATAGGTATTATAATTGGAGACTACTTTTACTAAATTGTTTTTACTAATTCCTTCCATAAGAAAAGTCATCACAAAATACTTTCAGACTTTCATTACATTTAATAAATTTAAAGGTATCAATTTTCTTTTCTGTAATTTCATTGTCATTATTATTACTATTATTTGTAAATGTTATTATTTTTGCTTTGTGGAATCTTTGTAGCTGCATAACTGAATGTAGCTTAAGGTTCCATAGCTTTAAGTCAGGTGTATAGGATATATTATTCCACCTATCTATATTTATTAGTTTTGAGGTATATCATTGTCTATTTGGCATGGTTGTCACTTTCTAACTTTTTAAAAGTGAAGTTGTTGCTACTTTTTATGCTTAGTATGTTGAGTTAAAATCTTTTCTACTACCAGTAGGTAGTAGAAAACTTTTATTGAGTGAAAATGTGCAAAATGAATGCTCTTATTTATTTATTTTTTTAAAAGTCAGTTGAAATTGAGAAAAAAGTAGAAGGAGAGGTATAATGGGAAAGAGTGCGGGGCTGAGGAAGAAAATTAGACACTTTTAAGAGAGCTAGATTTTTCTTTAAAGTGTTGGAAATGCCCAGAATGAAGGGAAGTATCCCAAATAGAGGAGTATGGGATTACCTGGAATTCTTTTGGATAGTAGGTTTTTACTTTGTGACAGGAAATGGGTTTGATGGTACCTAGTAGGTGATTGGTGCTCAGTAAAGCTTTGTTTGGAAAATGAGTGGATGAGCCTCTCCCTTCTCCACCCTACTTTCCCAAAAGAGGAAGATGTTTTCAGGTCTAGAAAGTAGCAGATTTTTTTTTTGTCTTTAAAAAAGTTACTTAAACACCTGAAACATAGGGGTGTGTGTGTGTGTGTGTGTGTGTGTGTGTGTGTGTACACTGAGTGGCCAGATTATTATGATCTCTGAATGCATAATAATCTGACCACACACACACACACACACACACACACACACCCATAGAGGCCCGGTGTATGAATTCGTGCATGGGTCCAGCTGGCCTGCCTGCTGGTCGAACTCCTGGTCAAGGGGACAATTCGCATATTAGCCTTTTATTATATAGGATATACACTGAGTGGCCAGATTATTTTGCATTCAGGGATCATAATAATTTGGCCACTCAGTGTATATTTTAGGTGAAGAGAGGGCCTCATTGCTGGCATATTATGCTAAATGCCAAATCAATAAAGAAGGAATAGGAAGAGAAGAAAGCAGGATTCCACCAAAGCAAGAATAATTGTATTTACGTAATTGTAGCTACATATGGAGTCATATAGAGATATGGAAGGGTATTGAACATATTGGTTACCAAGAGAAGAATGGAGTTTGTCTCGAGTGATCTTGAAAAATAGCCTACTTAGAAGCACTTAACAGCTCTGTGTTTGCTGCTATCTTTAAGTCTACTCTGGTCTGACTATGAAGGTCTTCTGTAATCTGGTGCTCTACTTTACATATCCACTCTCAAGTCCTGTCTTCTCCATCTGGTAGCTGTTAATTACTTCACACCCTACTTTTCTTTGATTTCCTGTTGCACTTGTAGTCATTATTCCTAGTTTAGCATTTGATTCACTAATGACTCATATGCTTTAGGTCTTTCTTTTGACTTAGAGAGGCCTTCTTTGCTATTTCTTTTATGTCATATGCTATGTTTAGCTTGGGAGTGTTGGTGCTGGTTGGTTCTACCTTGTCAATGTTAGGTGATAGAAAAGATGATGGTATTTGTCCTGGAAAAGTTGTATTCTTCTGTTTGTTTTTGCTTGACCTTATCTTAAAACTGTTTTTGTTTTTTTTTAATTTGAACTCTTGATTTTGTTACTGAATGTTTATTTATTAGTTTAGATTAGATGTTATCATCATTGATTTTTTTTCTTTTTAGTTTGCATGTTTACCCACCAAAGATAACTTTGGAATGAAAAAAAAACTTATTGTGAAATCAGCATTGAAATTTGTTGCCTGCTCCAATCAAGATTTGTAAACTACAGGAAAAAATCCTTCTGAAGTTTCCAGCTATAAATTTATACCAAGATAATTGCAAGTATGAGGGCAGTTTCTAAAATAATAATATATGAAATATGTTGCTTTACTTACATAATTATTGTAATTAGGTGAAAAGTCACTTTTATGTCAATTAAGGGAATTTGGTTCTGGCTGTAGATAAATTGATTTTATAATATCTTAACTTTCATATTATTTTTAATCTAACATTCTTAAGTCAAAGGATTTTTTAAAATTCTGTAACTTCTTTGATCTTATGCTTCTACCTCAGCCTCTTTTGGATGTAAAGGACTGTTGAAGAACCAGGTCATCAAGCCATCTGCCTGGTTCATTTTGCTGTCTTGAACATCTGCAGTCTATAACGACTTAACATTTGTTTTACCTTCCTGATGATAATAGAGTTCAGTGGAGTTGGCAAAAAAATACAAATGTTCCTTTTTTTCAACATCAAATTGTAATTAAATTTGACCTGTTTACTGGTAAATCAGAATAAGTTGTGAAATCTCAGATATGTTAGTTTACTTAAAATTAAGTACTGTGTCTTAAATGAAGAAATTAAATGAAGAAATGCTTTGTCTACCAATTGGTATCTTTTTATGACTGAAGTTCACGTGCTTGCATATTCATCACCTTCATTTAAGTGTAAACATTGCATTTACTTCTTTCCCAAGATTACTGTATTACAAAGAATACTATATTACTATAATCTTAGGTAACCCTTACTATGAAGAAAGTTAATATCCTGACTTATATATTAAAGAGAGTTAACTTAAAAACAGAATGCTCTCTTAAACGCTTACATCAGAATTATTGAAATTTGTGTTAATGTTCATAGTCTATGACTGGCTTATTCTACTCACTTGCTTAGTGTAGAATGGAATTGAAATCGGTATGTGTTTTAGGTCCTGGTCCATAGGATCATCTGTGTTTTAGCCTACTTTGTGGAGAGTGAGTATAATTCAAATGCAACTGAGCTTCAGAAAATATTTATTAATGTGTACACTTTGTCAGTCAAAAATCCCTGCCTCTGAACATTATGTTCTGATGAGGTTGGGAAACAGATAATAAATAATATAATTAAGTAAAATATATAGTGTATAAAATATAAGTGTATAAGATGATGATAAATGCTTTGAAGAAAAACAAATGCATGGTTAGAGAGGAGGTGAAGAGAATATGGGGTGGTGGTGAGTGGGATAAGGCAGGGTTGACATTTTAAATAGGGTGGCTAGTGAAGTTTCACTGAGGAAGTGACATTTGAGTGAAAATCTGAAGAGGTGTGGGAATAAGCTGTGTGTATATGAGAGAGGGAAAGAGTATTCCTGGTATAAGGGATCACATGTGCCTTTTTCAGATGGTTAAGTTTGCTGGAGCTGTCATAGTTAGGCAGGTTATTATTGTACATTCAGTCAGGCTTTTTATTTTGACAGAATGTCTAGCAAGGAAGTGAAGACTGCCCTAAAAAGTGCTAGAGATGCAATCAGAAACAAAGAATACAAAGAAGCTTTGAAACATTGTAAGGTAACTGATATTTTGTTCTTCCACAATGAAAGTGTGTTACCTCTTTATAAGTGTTATCAATTCATGATATGTGAACCATTTACTGTTTATATAGAACAAAGGTAATAAGGTTATTTAGTAGAATGGTTAGAGTGGTTATGCTATGATAAGCTGCTCTGTCACACTTAATTTTGTCTTTCTCTGTATTGGTAACTTATCAAAGCCAAGTTCTTAAAACTGAATATCTCTTAGGTATCTTTTGATGTGTTTACTGTGGGACTGTACCATTCTTTAGTAGTGTGTTGACATTTTAATTCTATTTGGTTTGTGCATTCTAAAGTGCCTTTGTATTCTGATGGGAATGTTCCAGTCCAGAGGAGAAATTGAATGTGCAGGAGAGATAGAGGAAGTAGTATGAATGATATGGAAAACAATTTTGTGAGTTAACTAGCACTGTAGAATGGTTGGGTGTTAAGAACAGTCTTGCCGAAACTGGTTTGGCTCAGTAGTAGAGCGTCGGTCTGCATACTGAAAGGACCCAGGTTCGATTCCGGTCAGGGGCATGTATGTTGGTTGCGGGCACATCCCCGGTGGGGGGTGTGCAAGAGGCAGCTGGTCGATGTTTCTCTTTCATTGATGTTTCTAGCTCTCTATCTCTCTCCCTTTCTCTTTGTAAAAAAATCAATAAAATATATTAAAAAAAAAAAAAAAAAGAACAGTCTTAACCGTTCTATTAAATAACCTTACTACCTTTGTTATATGTAAACACTTTAGAATGCACAAACCAAAGACAGGATGGTTGGGTGTTAAGAATAATCTTATTTCTTTTTATATATTTATGACCCTTTAAAATTACTGATCCCTCTCTAGCTGAGGAACTGAAGACCAGAGGTTGAAGGACCTTTTAAAGATTGTCCAGTTAGCGGTAGATCCAGATTTTCTGACCTTCAGTTAGACTGTCTTTTGTTGTTTGTCCATTACTTCCAAAATTTAATGACCTGCTTTTTTAATTTTTTTAATCAGACAGTGTTAAAGCAAGAGAAAAATAACTATAATGCCTGGGTATTTATTGGTGTTGCCGCAGCCGAGCTAGAACAACCTGATCAGGCCCAGGGTGCCTATAAGAAGGCGGCTGAACTAGAGCCAGACCAATTACTAGCTTGGCAGGTATGTAAAAATATTTTTCCTCATATTATAAGAAAGAGTTGTTTTCTCGTTTTGAAAATTACAGTAATATTATAGCTTTATTTTTTATAACAACAAACCTCCACTTAATTCCACATGAGAAAAAAATTGAAATTTATTGTTTTTTTAAAACTGAAGATTACTTTTCAAAAAAGTGGTGCCAACAATGCTATTTACTGTGCTCCTATTTAACAATCCATTGAATTATTTCCAAATGTGAGGAATGGAATTGAAACATTATTATGTACATCTCCTACTAATTATATATGCATATGAAAGATTCATTAAGAATATTCTCTGTTTATCTGAGAGAAAAGAAATGTATATTAATATGTTTTCTAAAAATAAAATAACATAGAAAATTTGCAATTCTCTTTGAGTACAGATTAAATTCTTTTTTCTTATTTAATGGTCTCCAAATTTTCATATTTAATCACTTTGTTTCATATCTTAGTTACAGCTTAGAAGCTGTGATTAAAAGGAGGTGATAGGCTCTGGAGTACATGAACCCATTTGTTTTAGGTTTACATGAACAAGAGCATGAATGAGGATATGTGATAACATGTTTATACAGGTGCTTGTTTTTATTATGTACCGATTGGTGTAGGGCCGTGGTCGGCACTTCAGCTCGCGAGCCACACGAGCCACATGTAGCTCTTTGGCTCCTTGAGGGTGGCTCTTCCACAAAATACCACGGCCTGGGCGAGTCTATTTTGAAGAAGTGGCTTTAGAAGAAGTTTAAGTTTAAAAAATTTGGCTCTCGCCAAAACCAGTTTGGCTCAGTGGATAGAGCGTTGGCCTGCAGGCCGAAAGGTCCCAGGTTCGATTCCGGTCAAGGGCATGTACCTTGGTTGCGGGTACATCCCCAGTAGGGGGTGTGCAGGAGGCAGCTGATCAATGTTTCTAACTCTCTATCCCTCTCTCTTCCTCTCTGTAAAAAATCAATAAGATATGTTTTTAAAAAATTTGGCTCTCAAAAGAAATTTCAATCGTCGTACTGTTGGTATTTGGCTCTGTTGACAAATGAGTGTGCCAACCACTGATATAGGATATCTTATCTTTATTGAAACAAAAATGACAATTTCTACAGACTACTTGGATTTTGTATTTACAATATTTCACCATGTACAAGTAGTGTTATATGGTAATGTGTTAGAAATTAAAATTGTATAATAACTATTAAAATATATTTTTTGTTGTGAAACATTTCAAATATATTTTCAAAAGAAAAGACAATGGTATGAGTCCTTCTATGCCCATCCTCTAGCTTCAATAAAAATCTCAATTTTTAAAAATCTAAACTTGCACCTACTCTCTTCAATTCCAAATTATTTGTAGGTAAATCCCAGACATATTTCATTTATTAATTATAATTATCTTTATTATGAATAGTCTTTATAGATTCTCACTTTAGCAAAATAAATGCAAGAACATTAGATGTTTTTGGAAGAATAATCTCTACTACTTCCTCTTTTAGGGGTTAGCAAGCCTATATGAGAAATGTAATCAGATAAATTCTAAGGATGACTTACCTGCTGTTTACCAAAAGCTCCTGGATCTTTATGAAAGGTAATCAATATGTGGGGAAAGGCCAGTTTCTTTAAAAGCATGAATTAGAAAAACTGGTTAAAATTATATAGAAATACTGTAATCATGTACTGGGAACTGGGAAACATTTTTCTTTCAGACTGTTATAACAGAATCTCCTGATTGTGATAAGAACAGAATAATAATATTATACTAATAGAGGATTAACTAATTTGGGAACTTTGCTGTTATTTTCAGTCAATGTAATTGAAGAATGTTTCTTAAAGCTTTTCTTTTTATGAGAATTTCATTTTATAAAATTTTACTGTACTATGAAAGCTGTAGTGTGTACTGATTTAAAATAGTAAATGACATTATTGAGGTATTTACTTTTGGTGTTCTAAGCCTTCAATTGTTTTTATTAATTAGATTCAAAAGCTTTTTTTCCCCTTTTTTTTTCCTTTTTAGTGTTGACAAACAGAAGTGGTGTGATGTCTGTAAGAAACTTGTGGATCTGTATTACCAAGACAAGAAACACATAGAGGTTGGCTAATGATTTTCTGGGGTAGTATATTTCTTTTTAATAAAACTATTTCTAGAAGAAAGCTTTCATTTAACTTATGGGAAATTTTTAAAAATTGTTATATAGTATGATATTAAAATAATTTAGAGGTCTAATATAAATTACAGTCATTTAAAAGCTGTAAATTAGAATTCAAACTGTAAATTAGAATTCCAAAGCTTTTAGAAACTGCAGGAATTAATAAAATAAGTAAAAGCATTATCTGTAGAATATAGTGGCCTATTTGCTGTGTCTCTATGTCTGATGCTATAAGTTATGATGATTGGGACATGTTGTCATTATTCCTGTATCTACTCTGGTAGCTCAGTAATATTTCTAATATGAGAACTATGTAAATTTATCCAATCAATTTATTTTTTATGGAGTTCATAATAGTTGGAGTTCTATGCTTTTGCTATTTTTATATATAAGCAGATAAAATATTTTTATTTGCAAATTTTATTTCTTTATTGAGACTTTTAGTACTTAAGATAAAATAACCATTTTAAATTTCCTCAATAGGTGGCTCGAACATGGCACAAATTGATAAAGATGCGGCAAGAAGCAGGCGCAGACAAGCAGGAGCTTCATCAGCTGTGGGTGAAATTGACTCAGTTGCTGGCGGAGAGCACTGAGGATCAGAATAATGAGACCCAGCAATTGGTATTGACCTGTTTATTCCCTTAAATTTAGAAAATGCAAGCATAATGATTTATTTATTTATTTATTTATTTATTTATTTATTTATTTATTTATTAATATGTTGTTGTTGTTAATCTTCACCCAAAGATATTTTTTCTGATTTTCAGAGAGAGTGGAAGGGAGGGGGGAGAGGAAAGAGGGAAGAGAGGAGGGAGAGAGAAAGAGAGAGAGAGAGAGGTGAGAAAGACACATCAATTGGTTGCCTCTTGCATGAGCCCATATCTGGCCAGATACAGAATCTGTAACCCTAGTAGTTGCTCGTGACCCTTGGTTGCAGGGGCTGACACTAACCATTGGGCACACCATCCAGGGCAAGGGTAATGATATATGTAGAATATAGAAAAGTACTTTATGCCAAAACCGGTGTGGCTCAGTGGATGGAGCGTCAGCCTGCGGACTCAGAGGTCCCAAGTTCGGTTCCGATCAGGGGCATGTACCTTGGTTGCGGGTACATCTCCAGTAGGGGGTGTGCAGGATGCAGCTGATTAATGATTCTTTCTCGTCGATGTTTCTGACTCTCTATCCCTCTCTCTTCCTTTCTGTAAAAAATCAATAAAATATATTTAAAAAAAAGAAAAGTGTTTTATGTTAAACTAGATATTTTGTGTTTAATTTTAAATGTAGAGGCTCTTCTTGATAAATTCAGAATTATTGGCCTACAGTCTCATATTAAGTCTGGACAGAGTGAAATTGGCATTTGGGGTATCAGAATTTTACTCCCTTATATTTATAAGAGGTATATTCAGTTATTTTTTCACTGTAAGAAAGAGATTTTGAAATTGCTTTCACAAAATTTCTATAATTTCTAAAAAAATTGTGTGTTAAAAGCATGTTATGAACTAAGAGTATTAAATCACTGAGATTTAAAAAAATATATGTATTTTACTGATTTTTTACAGAGAGGAAGAGAGAGGGATAGAGAGTTAGAGACATTGATGAGAGAGGAACATTGATCAGCTGCCTATTGCACACTCCCTAGTGGGGATGTGCCCACAACCAGGGTACATGCCTTTGACAGGAATCAAACCTGGGACCTTTCAGTCCGCAGGCTGATGCTCTATCCACTGAGCCAAACCTAATTCGGCTAAATCACTGAGATTTAACAATTCAACCAGAGTATTTTATTTAGAGTATTTATAAGTGCATTTTGAATACTAATTAATTGAAAATAATTTTAAAAGACTTAAAAAAAACATGGGTTTTGAACCAGAATTGGGAATATTTTTATTATTCTATTTCTTTTATTTGTAAGTTTAAAAATAAACTTAGTTTCTTATAGTATGTAGCCACTCAGTGTACACTCTTTAAATTGAATTGAAATTTTAAATGTAAGCAATGATGGGCTCTATATAGGATGGGAAGCTCATTTCTTTGTGTGTTATTTCTTTGTTTGCTCATTAATTTGATTTATTATTCAAAAAATGTTTATCAAGTAAAAACAAACAAACACAGAACACAAAACAAAATGTTTCTTAAAAGCCTACTATGTCAGGTGAGTACCGTAAAAGCTGGGGATAAGAATGTGAGAATGAGTTTTGTAGTTGTTTGTGTGTTGGTTTATCTGTGTATAGATTTAGTTGTGGAAAAAATTGAGCAGTGACAAAATTAGGTGATTTACCAACTTCTCTTAAATTATATCTTTATATTATGACATCATTATTTTCCTTGACATAGTGTAGGTTACGAGAAAATCAAACATGTACCAAAATAAAAAGATGTTTTTGTGAATTATTTATACTACTAGAGGCCTGGTGCATGAAAATTCATGCACTGCAGGGGGGGCCCTCAGCCAGGCCTGCCCCCTCTCACAGTCCAGTAGCCTCAGGGGCAAGAGGCAACCCAGCGATCAGGGGAAGGTGATGCTCCCATCACACCTCTGCTGCTGCCACTGCCATCAGCACAAGCCTCAACCAGCCCTGGTTACCTGAGCTTCAGCCGGCCTTGAGTGGCTGGGCAGCCGCCATCTGAAGCTTGCCTGCACCTCGGGCCAACCCTAGGAGGTTGAGGGGCTGAGGGGCCTGAGGGACTCCACAGACAGGTGCATGGGGCAACTGGACCTGCCTGGGGGCTGCCGTGCATGCCTGCTGCCCCGGTGGAGCTGAGGGGACTGGACGCCGCCATCTTTGAGGGTGTGGCAGTCAATTAGCATATTCCCTCATTGGCTTGGGTGCTGCCATCTTTGTGAGGGTGTGACAGTCAATTAGCACACTCTTTATTGGGTAGGATATCACTTTAAGAAAGAGAACTAATTATACTTATCTTAAATATTGGCTTCTAACTTAAAAATACAATAATAGGATATCTGAGGGTTGTTGTTTTCAACTTGAATGCTAATGATAACTGCTTTATTTGTGTTCAGAAACAAATGTATCATCTATTTTCCATGTGGATTATTTGCATTACCTTTTTAATTTTATTAACCTTTGTGCTTGACTAAGTTAGTAAAACTTTATTTATATGGACTTTATAACATGATTTATAAAGAAAATTTGAGATAGTAAACTGTATTATGAGTTTACATTATAGAGGCATAGGAAATATTTTTAAAACTGTAGAACTTATGTAACCTAATGAATGGCATCTTTTAAAGTGCTTGCCTTGCCGAAACCGGTTTGGCTCTGCGGTAGAGTGTCGGTCTGCGGACTGAAAGGTCCCAGGTTCGATTCCCGTTAAGGGCATATACATTGGTTGCCTGCACATCCCCAATAGGAGGTGTGCAAGAGGCGGGTGGTCGATGTTTCTCTCTCATTGACGTTTCTAGCTCTCTATCCCTCTCCCTTCCTCACTAAGAAAAATCAATAAAATATATTTAAAAAAAATAAAATAAAGTGCTTGCCTTGGATTCTCATATTTCTGTTCTGGCTCAAAACATTTAGAATTCTTCTTTTGGGATTTTTTTCAAAATCAGTTAATGATACTGTATAAAAATTTATTATTGTATAGTGGTATTTTTGGTATTCTTTTACCAAAAGTATAACTTAATTTCATAAAACATAATTTTAAGATTGAAAATTTGCTTTTATTAAAGATGTTCTAAAGAACATGCTGGTGATTTCAGAAGAGATGTTTTAAAAATAATCTGAGCAGTAGCAGTTACATTATCATGTAAGACTATACTTCTCTGGCTGACTACTTTGTAGGGAACAGCAAACCTATAAGAATGTTTCCTTAAATTAATATTGCCAATTTATAGTTATTTCTTATTAGTTTAGTGCAGTCCCCTAGCTAGTGGAGTTAGAATGTATTCCAAAACTTATAAATACATGTTTTTCCTCAATGAAATTATCAGGGCCATATTATAAAATGTATTTGCAGTTAGTTGAGTGTGTAGCTTGTATGAGTCTTATACGTTGAACTGTTTTATAATACATTGTCATTTAAATATGCTACAGATAATAGTTTTTTTGTTTGTTTGTTTTGTTTATTTGTTTCAGCTTTTAACTGCTTTTGAGAATGCACTGGATTTATCAGATAAGATTCCTAGTGAAGACCATCAAGTACTGTATAGACATTTCATTCAGTGTTTATCCAAAGTGAGTTGATTTTTTAAATCTCTAATGTGAGTTTTCTATTCTAAATAGGAAAGTGTCCAGAAGTATATTTTATTGCTACATAGTTAATTTTACTTTTATATTTTCAAGTTTCCTCATGAGACTGCTAGGTTGAAGAAGGCCTGTGAAGGAATGCTAAACATTTACCCCACTGTGCAGTATCCATTAGAAGTGCTTTGTTTGCATTTAATTGAATCAGGTAATTTCTTTTTTATTATAGTGTGTGTCCTAGAGGTGTTGTGTGATGTTACTATGGATAAAAAATGGTTTTAGTGTCTATCAGGTGTAAGGTATTATTTCAGTATTTCTGGACATAAAAAGAAGTTCAATGTAGTCTTTGTGCACATGGAAAGACTGATACATATAGGAAAGTATAGTGATGCAGAGGAATTATAGGTTGTTGATCAGTGAAGTCTTTTTGAAGGTGGAGATTAAAGAAGGCCTTGAATTTTTAATAGAAAGTAGATAAACAGGAGGTAAAATGTACTGTTAGAGGACGGCAAAGAGAAGTCAGGGAGGAAGATTGGGAACTGCAGAACAACACAAAGAGTATTAAGCATGTAAAGGGAAGGGAAGCTTTTAGAGGGGGAGGAGAAGCATTGCAGTAGTGTCACGTGGCAGGAGGGTTATAAAAAAGGGCTAGTTAACATTATGAACAGTGAACTGAGGTCAAGAGGATGAGGCATGCTGAGACTTTCAGTGTAAAGAGTTTGCTTGTGAGTGTTTCGATAATAGGAAGCTTCGTTCCAAAATCACCCTGTTTCTTCAAATTTTTGTAGGAGTCCCATGGTGTTCCCAATATAAGTGGACTTATTGTGTTGCCTCTGGTACTCATCCCTCCACCCCTTTTTCTGCTGTAAAATTGCTGCTAAGAAAATAATGGCTATTTTGGTGGTGGGCACATGGTGCAATAGACAGATCTTGTAACATAGAAACGCACACTTGACACCTATATGGTCATGTTGACCATTGTGACCCTAATAAACTTAATAAAAAAAGAGAAATTGATGGCTAATATTCACTCTTTTCTCTCTATGCCTGTTCAGCTATTAGTGGTTTGTACCTTTTCTTCATATGCCAGAATTGAATGTTTTCTCAATACGCACATTTATGCCTGTAACGTTGATTTGTCAAATAAATACTTATATTCCAAAAGCCAACAAAAATATAGAATAAATAAGATCAACAAATAGTCTGCAGACTTTTCCACCTAAATTCAGTATTTGACAAAGTTCTCTAATAAAGACATAGCAAAGGGATTATGCTGACTGTTAGAGAACGTGTTGATTTATGTGAAAAAAATTCTTAAAGAGGCCTTGGGGTGGTTATTTTGTAGAACTGAAGGAGAGTTCTGTATCCTGGCAAAGGGGAAGAGGCAGGGTGGATACACATATGGTACACCAAGGTAGAGTGCTTTTCCTGCTCAATATTTGGTTGTAAGAATCTGTGGAATGTAGCAGTTTAGGCTTAAGTTCATTCTAATGTAATCAGTATTCTGGAGTGGAAGTTTAAGTAGTTAATGCAGGACCGCAGGAATCTGCTTAATGTTTCCTTTTTTCTTTCTATTGTTCCTCTAAACCAAACTTTCTGTGTATTAAGAACTTTTGAAAATCTCCATAGTACTTTAGTATCTGTGGAACTTGTTACTTGATAGCAACAGTGAATCACTGACTTTTCTTCTACTGGGGATAAATATATCCATTCTTATTTGTCCTCCTTTGCAGGTGGAAACTTGAAGATTGATTTTCAAAATGACTCAGTTAATAAAGCTTCAATAACTAATAGTGAATGGCTTTCACAGTTATCTGATGAATGTTATTTCATGCTAAATGGCCTTTTTGATTTATTTTATTTTGCTTTATTGCTGAAATGGGGGAGAATGAGAAAGCTTGACTCTTTAGTCTGAAGAGCTTAATATTTTGTGTTCTAGAAATATTAGAAATCCAGGTGAAAATAAAGAAATGAATACATGCTGGTTTTCCCCTTCTAATTAGGTTTATTTAAAATAAAAATTCTATAGTAGTGATCAGTTTTTTTGGGATGTGAGAAATGAATTAGTTATTTTAAAAAACTCAGGTTTTTTTTGGTAGTAAACTTTAGGAAACAAAATTTTCATAGGTATTACTTAGTATCTATCCTGAAACTCTTCAGAGTAGCTTTACCCTTGGAGATTTAGTATTCACTAGCCCCAAGTCTGGCTTGCCTTATTGAGAAATAAATATATTGTCAGTCTGTTTTAAAGCCATTAAATCTGGAATCTTGGAATCTTTTAAATGTTAAAAGAGTAGATAAGTTAAATAAGCGATGTCCTATCAATTTGTCATCCTCTACATTTATTTAACTAGTATTTTCAACAGGAATTAGTATAGAGGAGAGGAAGATTGAGGGTTGAAGCTGGAATATTCCTTGTCTCTTTTTTAATTCAATTTTATTTTATTTTCTTAAATTTATAGAAAGTAAAATGGATTTTTAAAATATACAATTTGATTCCTTGTCTCTCTATACAAGATCAGTTGTGATATTGCTGCCCATGGTTTTTGGGAATACTATAGAGAATTCCTCTAAATACCATCTGCTCATATGTAAAGAATACCTTACACGGGGCTAAACATGAATGTAATCCTTCCAAATCTCTTTTTGTTTCTGTAATTGTGCTCCCAGATATTAACAAAGGGGGACATGTTAGGAAAGTTTGCCTTGTTTTAAAATTTTTTTGGGTTCATCCTAGGCTTTTGGAAACTATTTTCAAGTACCTATCCACACTTTGCTTACCTGTGTGCATTTTGTATGTGCTTGTGTGCACGTGTGCATTTTTGTACCCTAAATATGGATGAACATGGAAAGATGCACTTTATCCCAGGGTTTTCTCTAATAAGAACAGTTAGTTTAGCCAAGATAGTTTGTCATGAATTATGTTTTTGTGGAGTAAGAGAGTTTTGACTTAGATGGGTAGAAATTTAAGGTGAATTTTAATAGCCATTTCACTTTCTTTATTAAGACAGCTTTTGAAATTTAAGTTATGTAAGTTTTGGTGCTTAGAAATTTGATATATGTATGCTAATAACTTTTTCTTTTAATACCAGGAATTCTTTCTGATGAGGGACAACAGTATTGTTGTAGACTAGTGGAAATGGATTCAAAAAGTGGTCCAGGCCTCATTGGTTTAGGCATTAAAGCATTACAAGACAAAAAGTATGAAGATGCTGCTAGGAACTTAAGAGAAGGTAAGTAACAGTGGATAGCTTATAACATCTTTGGTAGGTACTTATCTTTGGCCCTTTCTTTAAGGAATGTATATTTAAGGTAGGAATGAAGGTACTTATCTTTGGCCCTTTCTTTAAGGAATGTATATTTAAGGTAGGAATGAAAAACAATAAACTTACATACTGGCTTAAGTTTGAATTCCAACTCTGCCACTTAAACTCTCTGTGTCTCAGTGTCTTCATTTATAAAATAGGGATAATAATATCTCCAGTCTTAATTCAAATTGAGATCTGAATGACAAATACAAGCCTGGCATTGGAAGGAGCATTTCAGGTAAAAAAAATTAAATAGCTGAGGGTAGAGGAAAGCTGGGTGTCAGGAAACTGCTTATGGTTTGGCCAGATTTTTGAATGAAGTATAGGAGCAGGAAGGGGCAAGAATTGAGGCCGAAGAGGGGCTTACAAACCTTGTTAAGCACCTTAAGGGCAGTAGGGAACCAGTGGAAGGTTTTAAGCAGAGAAATTTCATAATGACATTTGTATTTTTAGAAATATTCTCACCACAGTGTAGAGGATGCAGTGATCTGGGATAAAGATGATGGAGGTGTGATTAGTCCGGTGGTAGAGAAATGGATAAGCGCCTGGAAACAGTGTGGCTTTGTGACTGATTAGATGTGAGAGATAAGGGAGAGGGGGGCGAGTCTGATTTGTTTTATGTTTTGTTTTCTTTTATTATTTATTATTAATTCTCACTCCTGAATATTTTTCCAATAATTTTTAGAGAGAGGGAGGAAGTGGGGGAGATAGGTAAGTAGGTAGGAAGGTAGAAACATTGATGTGAGAAAGACACATCGGTTTGTTGCCTCCTGCACAGTCCCAGACTGGAACAAGGGATGGAACCTGAAACCTAGCTACCTGCCCTTGACGGGGGATTGAACCCGACACCCTCCGGTGCGCGGGCCAATGCTCTAACAATTGGGAAACATCAGTCAGGGTGGGAGGAGTCTGACTTGGTGAGTCGTTGGTGGTGCCATTCATCTCAGTAGTTATGGAAACTAGATTTTGTGCTTGCTTTTATCCTTTTAGGGTTAAAAGAAAGTCCTCTCTGCACAACTGGATGGTATCATCTGGCAGAAGCCCAAGTCAAAATGCATAGACCTATGGAAGCTGTTCTTTCATGCAATCAAGGTATTCTTGACATGTTTAAGTGCGGCCAACCCTATTTCTTTTCATCTTCCAGAAGAAAGACAGTGGTTTTAAAAAAAACAGGTATAGCCTGGTGTGTCCTAGGGCTTTCACTGGTTCTTGATTTCTCTGATGTAGATAAGGAAGGAAAGGCATCTTGGAGCCTATTTGAATGGCATGGGATAGAAAATCACAAAAAGTGATTCACTGCTGTGATGCAGCTGGAGGCCCAGCCTCTGTAGTTGAGAAATAGTTCACCTTGGTCCATTCTAATTCAGCTTATTTTCCTTCTAGTATCCTTAATTTACTTCTTATAGATGCATTGGCTAAGGGCTAACTTTTGATATATAGCAGATAGGGGTAGCCATTGTTTGTTTCAGGATGTTCAGTTTTATCAGGTTATGTGAATATAAAGGTTTTAAATTTAGATCTGTTTTAAATTCAGATATTTCCATATGGAGATTAGGGAAGAATTTATACTTAGCTTTAAATTATTCTTCATGTATATTGCTTTGGCAATTCTTATTGTAATGGTAATTTATTATATGTCCCTTAAAAGAAAAAAATATGAAGTGATATGGTTGTCTTCATTCAGATGTCCTTAATTTTGTCAGCTCTGAAGAACATAGATAATGTTGGTGTGTCTGGTGGCAGTCTTCATCAGAAGAATCTTTGTCTTCGTTTGAAAGCAGAGGCTTTGATTAAACTCCCAGATAATGAATCTGCAGAGGAAGCAATTTGTACTCTTGACCAGGTAGATTTACCATAGAATTTTCCCCTTCAACTTACTTAGTTTCCAATCAATGAGGAATCAATCACTTTTTCCTTATTACAAGTATTTACTTACATGAATTTTGTTTTAGAGGTATGAATTCACTTTTGTAAATCATTCACGCAATTGGAAACTCTATAAGTTACATATTTGCTTCTTGTTTAAGTACTTACAATTCTTTTTATATGATACAATTTCTCTCTTTAGTTCTTGCTCTTATTATTCTTTTCTCTTTTTTCCCTGTTAGATTATTACTTAATTATTACTAATTTGGGATTTAAAAATTTTTTCTTACAGAAAATATTTTGTCAGTTACTGTCAAGAATAATTAAGGAGATTAGTAGATTCATGGTAGAGAATATTATTTATGGTTTTACTTAATAAAACCAATAAATAATGAAATTGATTTTTTAATGTTTTTGGTTCAAGCAATTTATAATTCCCTGGCAAAAAACCTAACTAGTAAATTAGGAATTATAACAACACAGTGTCTTTATTTAGTAAATATTTTTGTCAGATAAAAGCATTTTTTAATCTAAAATTAAAATTATTTTACTCAGTATATTTTAAAGTTTTGACTTTTAAAAAGCCATTTTTTTTGGTGTACTTTAAAGGGCTTTGCATTTATATTATTTCTTTAAAATTGGCACAATTGTTAGCATCCTTTAAGAACTAAGTCCTAATTTTCTTATTTTCTACTTGCCTTCTGACCAACTGTGTTTGTGTGCATGCTCTGTAGAGGTCTTTCCAGAATTATTTTGTTACAGGGAAAACAAAAAGTTCTTTGGAGAACTGGTAGGATCTGAGATAGAGAATGTACAAGATAAGCCCAGAACATCTTATAATGCTAGAAAGCAAGGAAACAGGATCCCAGCACTGTGTCAGAAGAGCTCAGGAACTAGCATCATGGATTTTCAATGACTGAAGAGTGGATGGTTTAAGTACAAGTAACTGCAGTAAATTGAAAGGCATAAAATATGTTTAAATCCATGTGTTCATGATGATACAAAAATAAATAAAGCATCCTTGAAGGACGCTAAGGAACCAATTGAAAAGAAAATTACAGCAGTTATACTGCTTTCCCTATATGAACTATTCCTAAGAATAATCAAATAGATAAAGAGAGAAGGGAAAATTTCTCTTTGTTGAGTAGTCCACAAAGGAATGATAGAATGAGAAAAATAATCATCATTTTTGCAGTCTGTAATGAATGACTCTATCTAGTCATCAAGAATGGATTGCTACTAACATCACGAAAAGACAGACAAGTAGACATAACCAAGTGTAAGGCCATGTGAGGTATTCTTGCCAAAACATCAAGCTTGAATCAGGTCAAGCTTCTAGACCAAATATACAGAAGAGACAAAGGGACAGGTCAATCCATGACAATATCTTATGCAAAAAAAACAGATTACAAGAAGCTGACAAATGGCCCATATTTTTCAACAGTTAAATTGTAAAGGAGGGGAAAAGAAAAAGAGAGATGGAAGGGTATCCTAGAGATTAAAAGAGACTTAAAAGATCTCTTAGCTACTTGAAATATCTGTACCTTGTTTAGATTTTGATTAAAATAAATAAATTACTCAAATGGACAATTGAGAACTTTAAATACTAATTATTTGCTGATGTTAATGATGTATTGGTTTTGTTTAAATGTATATAATGGTTGAACGATTGTTATTTAAAAATGAACTTAATTTTTCGTTATAGATGCTGAAATAGCAGGTAAAAAGTTAAAATATGTGGAAACAATCTAAATAAGAATATGGTGAAATGGGTGGAGGTATAGAGAAGAAAAGATTGGCTTTGAGTTAATTTTGAAGTTGGATGATGAGTACATGTGGTTTTATTATACTCTTCTCTAATTTTTTTATGTGTTGGAAATTTTCTCTAATAAGTTTATAGAGAATGAAAATGTTAATAGATAGAATTCCATACGTCTGTGTCTTTATTTTTTCTTTTAAATATATTTTATTGATTTTTTTTTTTTTTTTTTTTTTTGCCCACCTCCCTCCCACCGTCTGTGTCTTTATTCTGTGTTTCTCTATGGTCATTCTTTAGTTAAAGCAAATATTGCTGCATTCTATTGAAGGAGATTTGTAGCAATTCTTTGCAATTACTTTCTAGGTTTCTGATGCAAATAATATCCCAGGACTTTTGGTTCTCAAAAGCTTGGCCTATCTGAACAAAGGCTCATTAAATGAAGCTTCAAAGGTCGGTTTTTTTCATTCAAGGTGAGATTTTTTTTTTTTGAGAAGTTATTTATTATTTGGATATGGAATTGACAGATATCTACTTCATAGATTATGGAAGACGTTCTCTCTTCTTACCCTGACCTAGCTGAAGCTCATGCCCTGGAAGCCTTTATTCATTTTACCAAAAAGGACTATGTACAAGCAGAAAAATGGTAAGGATATATAGGTTGCTCATAGATCAAATCATATCTTAGTTTTTTATATTTTTCAAAAATTCAAAATAAATGGGCTTGATAAAGATCTAGTTTTGTATAAATTTGATCTTGTAAGCTTTATTAGTATTTTTAAGAAATGTATTTAGCATATAACACAGTAACTATAAACATTTCCATGATGAGTTTGAAATGTGATCAGCTGATTATCATATTCAGTAACCAAGCATAATGTTTGGTGTGAACACTAGCACATTGGTAGTGCTAAAGGCCATTGTGCTTTTTAAAGTTCCTGTTACTAAAAACAAATCATGTTGCTTTTTTCCCCCCCATTATAATCTGAATCCTGAAGTAGTGACTTGTTTCAAAATCAGCATCCTTGAATTATTCAAACTTTGATTGCTTCAACTAGAAGTCTGCTATATCATATAAATTTTAATATTTTTTACTTCCCCTTGGTGATCTAGTTTTCAGAGAGCTCTTGAGAAAGATGCTGAAGTTGCTGAATATCATTACCAACTTGGGTTAACATATTGGTTCATGGGTGAAGAAACAAGAAAAGATAAAACTAAAGCTCTTACCCACTTTTTAAAGGTAAAATAAGTGCTACTTTCAATTCTTAATTGAAATGAATTCATTATAAACCCATAAATAATAATTATGTAAGTTGTGTACTTGAAATTACTACTGAACTGATTTTCATGTTTCATCTTTCACACATAAGGTTTTGTGAGAATGTTATCTGGATTTTCAAGGAGAAAATTGAACCATAATAGTTATTTATTTAAAAATCATGTGTGATGGAAATAAGACACAATTATCTCTGAAAAATAGTTTTTAGGTAATTTGCAGTGTAATTTTATGTAACTCTAGATGTTAAAGTCTTTCTTATTTTGACTAATAAAAGCAGATAATTTAAATTTCACATTTCTTTTAACAAAGATAACATTTTTACTCTTATACTAAGCAGTGACGGCTAGTTTTCATGTCTGTTTTAAATCTTATATTAGAGGGTGTTTTGGCATATTTTTATATATATTTAATAAACCTGTTCCTTTTTTCTTCTTTAATCTGTGTATTTACATTTTGTGCTTTTAAAGGGACCCTTCCAAACAAATTTTAATATTCTGTTGTTATCAATTTTTAATTGGAAGGCTGCCAGACTGGATACATATCTGGGCAAAGCTTTCTGCTATTTAGGTCATTATTACAGAGAGGTAGCAGGAGATAAAAACAGAGCTCGTGGATGTTATAGGAAAGCTTTTGAATTGGATGATACTGATGCTGAATCTGGAGCCGCAGCTGTTGATTTAAGCGTGGAGCTTGAAGAGATGGTATGTCTAATAACAAACACACTTTTATCTTTTGTTTTATGTGAAGTGTAGAAATAGAAACATTTTTCTGTATGTATACTTACAATTATTTTTATTATATTTTGTAAATACAATATAAATTATTTTGTCACTGTTTTGTAGAGTACATTTTTTTTCCTTTGGCAGACATTAAAATCCTCATCATTTATTGTTGAAACTGTAGTTCAGTGTATACCAGTGTAAGTTTAAAAAACCAGAAGTGGTAAATGGAAATATATTTGAATACTTTACATAAGTGTTCTGTATTTTTATGATATTTGATATCTCTAATATTAGTCCTTTCTTCTTATTAGGAAACTGCCTTAGCTATCCTAACAACAGTAACTCAGAAGGCAAGTGCTGGAACTGCCAAATGGGCTTGGCTTAGGCGAGGACTGTACTATTTGAAAGCTGGTCAACATTCTCAAGCAGTGGCCGAGTAAGGCACCTTACTGTATTTAAACTCTGTTAAACAGCCTACTGGTTTCTTAAACTCCATTTGTACCCCAAATGGACTTTACAGGTTACCTCACGCCAGGTTGTGTTTTGAGGGAAGAAATAATAAAATTTATTTAAGGTTGATTGATTCTTATTATCTTCAAGGCACTGGAGTTAAAAAAAATGGATTAAATAATGTCCTATTGCTAAGGAGATAGCCAATCTAATGAAGTCTAATAGCATCATACATATAGTAGGTTCTCCATAAAAATTCAAGGAATGATAAAAGCTGAGGCTATTACCTTTGTTCTCCAAATGACATACATTGTTTTTGGGCAGTGGAGACAGTAGCAGCTTAAAGGGCATTTGGAGCAGCTCATTTTTAGTCATTTTGGTTTGAAGTACACATAAGGGTAAATAAAGTATGTATGTTTGAATAAAGATAAAGCTGCTTCTGATTTATGTTAATATCTATAATATAGGCATTTAAAATGTTTTCTGGAAATGGAATTTAATCAGAAATTTAAAGCATTATTCCTGTTTTCTAACTGTGATTATTTCTGTTTTGGTAGGATTGGCGTGGTTTGGAGATGAGGCATACTGAGATATATAACTATTCTGGTAGGATAGGATGAAATTTTTCCAGGTAGTCAAAAAAAGAAATTCTGATTAGCACTTCTTAAAAAAAATTAGTTTATTCTTACTTATTTTGAATTTGTAATAAAATTTCTTAATATTAAGAAATATTCAAAGCTATAAAGGAACAGATATACCTGCTTTAAATAGCACTTTTACAAATAGAAGGAAGCAGGGATATGTGTGATTCAGTTGAATTATTTATTTTATATTTTCCTTTCAGATGTGGAAGTAGTTCTATTACTTTTAGTTCTCTTACTGTTTCTTGAAATTTTAGTTTACAGGCAGCATTAAGGGCAGACCCAAAGGACTTCAATTGTTGGGAATCATTAGGAGAGGCATACTTAAGCAGAGGTGGCTATACAACAGCCTTGAAATCCTTCACAAAAGCCAGTGAGCTGAACCCAGAATCCACATACAGTGTGTTTAAGGTGGCAGCAATACAGCAAATCTTAGGCAAATATAAGGAAGCTGTAGCTCAATACCAGCTGATCATTAAAACGAAAGAAGATTATGTACCTGCTTTGAAAGGTAATTTTTTAAATAGCTCCTTTGATTTTTGTGATTCAAAAGTACAAAATCCATGAGTGAATTTCCTAAATGTATTTAGTAACTTGTAAAAAGGACTTCTTGCCTGGCTGGTGTGACTCAGTGGTTGAACTTTGACCCATGACCTAGGAGGTCACTTTTTGATTTCTGGTCAGGGCACAGACCTGGGTTATGGGCTTGATCTCCAGTAGGGGGCATGCAGGAGACAGCCAGTAAGTGATTCTCTCATCATTGCTGTTTCCATCTCTCTATTCCCTTCCTCAATAAAATCAATAAAAAAATATTTAAAAGAAAAAAATAAGAGCCTGGCCTGCATGGCTCAAAGATTGAGCATCGACCTATGAATCAGGAGGTCATGGTTCGATTCCCGGGCAAGGGTGGGCACATAGTCAGGGTTGTGGGCTTGATCCCCAGTGTGCGGCATGCAGGAGGCAGCGGGTCAATGATTCTCTCTCATCATTGATGTTTCTTTTCTTTTCTTTTCTTTCTTTCTTTCTTTTTTCTTTTTTTTTTTTTTTTTTAATATATTAGGTCTAGTAATAATTAATGTCGTTTTCTAATACTTTTTTAAATCGAATTTATTTAAACAATACAACAAAATTTAATCAACAATATAGTTGTTTTCTACTACTTGTGCCCAATGCTCAGGAAGCATTTTAATCCCTCTGTTGTAAAATTCTTGTGATTTTGATGCAAAAAATTCGGTCAATGCATTTTTGAGGCATTCTTCATTATTAAATTTTTTTCCAAGAAGAAAGTTTTGCAAAGAACGAAACAAATGGTAATCGGAAGGGGCAATATCAGGAGAATATGCAGATTGAGGGAGAACTTCCCATTCCAACTGGCGCAGTTTTTCAGCAGTGATTCTTGCAGTATGCGGTCGTGCGTTATCGTGGTGAAGAATTACGCCCTTCCGATTAATCAGCGCAGGTTCTTTTTCTCTTAAAGCTTGGGCTAACCTTTCCAATTGGGCACTATACACTGCACTAGTAATGGTTTGGTTAGATGGTAAAAGTTCATAATGAAGAATTCCTTTAAAATTCCACCAAACACACAACATCACTTTTTTCGCATGCAAGTCAGGTTTTGGCGTGGGCTGCAGAGCCTCATTTTTGTCCAACCATTGAGGCCACCTTTTCAAATTAACATACAGCACCCATTTTTCATCTCCGGTAACAATTTGCTCTAAAAACGGCAAACGGTTTTGACGAGAGAGGAGCGAACTGCAAATTGTGATCTTTGATTACGGTTGTTGTCGGTCAACTCATGAGGAACCCATTTTCCAAACTTTTGGACTTTGCCAAGTGCACGCAATTGATTGGAAATTGTTTTTTGTGAACAATTTAAAGTTGTCGCAAGCTCTTGTTGGGTAATTTGAGGATTTTGCACCAAAAGAGCTGGAAGAGCTTCTTGATCAAAATTGGACACACGGCCTCGACCACTCTTGTCATCTAACGAAAAATTTCCCTCGCGAAATTTCTCAAACCAACGCTGGCATTTTCTGGCGCTAACTGCATCTTGACCAAGAGCACTACAGATGTTTTTTGCAGCCTCACTTGCTTTTCTTCCTAATTGGAACTCGTAAAGCATGCAGTGCCGAATATGCTCTTCACCCGCCATCTTCTTAGCCCTAGTTTTGCAACAAAAACCAAACCAAACACAAACTTTTTCAAGCAAAACTTGTTAATTGCACTTCACACGTTCTGTAGATACCACGTGTTTGAAGGTTATGTCAATACAAGTCAACGCCAAGCAAGATTTTAAACGAATGTTTAAAACGACATTAATTATTACTAGATTCGATATTTTATTGATTTTTTAGAGAGGAAGGAAGAGAGATAGAGAGCCAGAAACCTCGATGAGAGAGAAACGACCTACTGGGGATGTGCCCACAGCCAAGGTACATGCCCTTGACCGGAATCGAACCGGGACCTTTCAGTCCACAGACCAATGCTCTACCACTGAGCCAAACCGGTTTCGGCTCATCATTGATATTTCTATCTCTCTCTCTTACCTTCCTCTCTGAAATCAATAAAATATATATTAAAAAAAGAAAGAAAAAAGGACTTCCTTAGTCAACAGTTAGCATTCAGTATGAACCTCTGATAGTATTGCTTATTATATAGATTTGACTTGTTTTATAACAGTCAGTAAATAGTAATATAGAAATTTAACCTTTAGACAAATATGATAGATAATGGATATAAAATGGATTTCTAAAACAAGAGTTTTCTATTATATCCTCAGTAGGTTAATAGATTTTAGTTATTTTGTAAATTATAGAAGCTCATTTTTTCAATTTTTAAAAAATTTTAGAGGCAATTTGTATTATTTTTGTAAGTATCTAAATCAACTTCTCCATATATTACTTTAGTAAAAGTAAAAGATCATCATTCATATCTAATCAAATTTTTATTATTATAACTAATCAAAATCATTATATATGCTTTTCTCTACTTTTCCTTTTTAAAGAAACAGTTGAGATTTAAATCAGAAATAGTGTTGGGAGTCATCAGGAGAGGCATACTTAAGCTAAGGTAGCCATACAACAGCCTTGAAATGTTTTAAGTGACATGAAATTTAAGCCTTGAAAACCTTTTTCCTAATTTTTTAAAACTCAAGGAGAACTGACATTAATTAAATATTTACTAAGCACTTGAGGAAATTGCTATTTCATTTAATCTTTATGGTATAGTTATATAGTTTTGAACATTTAAAAAAATAAGATTTTGTTTTACAATATTAATAAGTAATAAAATGATAGAGCATTTAGGAAATATCCCCATTTTCAAAACTGATGTTTTAAGTGGTAACTTGCCCAAAGTCAAGGGAATTCTTGGGTTCCATATGTAGTTTTTATTTTTCTAGTACCTGTTTACTCCAGTAGAGCCCTGCCATTTGAATTCCTTACTAAATATATGCAAGACCATGCTTTAAAATAATTTTTATAAAATATTATTCAGTTTTCTTTTCTAGAACGTGTCTTTAATATGCTAAGTATACTTTTTACATGTTTTAACAACTACAAATTTAACTGGTTTTAGGTTTGGGTGAATGCCATCTCATGATGGCAAAAGCAGCTCTAGTCGATTATCTTGATGGGAAAGCTATCGACTACATAGAAAAAGCACTGGAATATTTTACTTGGTTAGTATTATTATTATTATTAGTCATTGTGTTTATTTTCTTAATATTATAATAGAGCCAAATTTAGAATAAATTCTATTTAGAATAAACATTCTATGTGTATTTTGTTAGATATAGTGTCCATTATTCAGAATATCAAGCAAAGAATAACAGACAAACCAATTCTACAATATGTTGTAATATATATTGTATTAATTTAGCACTGGGGAACAGGTATAATTTCTTGCTCTCAAGTAGGTGGCATGCTGGACACATAGGGAAAGGTGGGAAGGAAGAAACAGTGGAGCAGCAGCTCTGATAACCCTGTGTTAGTGTTCTTTCAGGAGGCCTGGGAATGTATCTAAAATTGGAATGAGCAGAAAATAGGGCTTCAGGTGCACCCTGTGCTTTCTTTCAGTGGTAAGAGCTTATTTTAGGCCTACTTATTGGGCCAGAGGTAAGGGGAAATGAATAATCTGATAGCTCCTGGAGAGAATCTGTGTAGGAAAAATGTGACGCCTAATAACAAGAAAGGAATCAGAGAAATTTGAATAAATCTGATGTTTTGTTGAACTGAGCTGGGTAGAAGCATTATCTGTGGTAAATGGCTTTAAAAGATCTACAAGTTAGACAAACATTTGAAGACTTTTGCTCTTCAACATCTTTCTGTGTGTCCCCTCCTTTCATTTCCTACTTGTCTTCTCTGTTCCCTCTTGATTTGGTTGCTCCAGGGTTGCTTTGCTTTGAATATGAACCATATATGAAATGAAAACCTTAGCCTTTTTCTCCCACTGATTTTTATTCTACCTTTGAAGTCTCACATGATATAGCTCTTTCCAAAGAGGGGGGTATTGTGAAGAAGGTATTCTTTGTTGGAACTATATTTAAGAGTACATGACGAACCTTTGAATGGTGATACTTGAGCTAAAAATACTGCCTTTCTTAGCTTGGGAAATTTTGTTCTGGGAAGCATGTAGCACTCACATCCAATTAAAAGGCGGTATTAAAACTTTTAAAGTGATAACCCCACCCTGGCTGGCATGCTCAGTGATTAGAGTGTCCCTTTGGGTCCTGGTTTCATTTCCTGTCAAGAGCATATACCTGGGTTGCAGGTTCCTCACCCTGGTTGGCAGGAGGCAGCCAGTTGATGTTGCTTTCTCACATTAGTGTTTCTCCTCTCTTCATTCCCTTCCATTCTCTCTAAAATCAATGGAAAAAAATCCTCCAAAAAGTATTAATAAAAATAAATGATAATCCCAAAATTTATATTTACTTCTGTATTTAAAAATTCACACTACCACAATTCTTACGTAAGTGTGATAAAAGTTATTTCATTTCTCAGATATTTTTTATTGAACTTAAAAGGAGATAAGTATATAGACTGTCAAAATTGTTTTTCTTTGTATCTATTTTCTTTTTTCATATTGTCAATTTTAGAAATTATGCTAAGTTATTTAGGCAAAGGAACTAGAAATAGTGTTATCCTTCTTCCTGGTCATCCCAGGGGTTTTCAGTGATAACTGCAATAATTATTCCTACTTCCCTGGAAGATACTTGAAAATGATTTTTTGGCTGGACTCCATGAATAGGAAAGGCTATGAAAAATGTTCCATCTGCTTGTCCATCTGCCAAAAATATAGTTGTTTGTGATAGCTTATTATCAAAATTTGGCTTAATTGAAATTGCTGTGCTTTATTTATAAGATCTCAAGAAGAGAAAAATGAAATGTATAGCTGAGATTTTTTCTCTTTCTAAAAAGAACTTCCCTTTATAATCATAATTAATACTGCTATTTACTTTTTTGAGCTTGTCCATTCAGTAAATATGGGTTTTCACATTTTTTATGTTTTGATTTTTGGAATTGGTCTCAGAGAGTAAAAGTCCTTTGGACTACCAAATATATTTGGTATGTTATACATTTACTAGGCTTTTTTTTTTAAAGCAAAAACTTGAATTTATAATAATCCACTGTAAAACGAGAGTTAACAGCTTTACTGTTTGGTTATTAAGCAAACAAATGAACACAAAGAGCATAGTTTTTAAAAAGTCAATATTAAAAGAAATTGGTTCTGAAAGAATTACTCATTTATTTATGTGATTTCTGCTACTTCTAACAAAAATAATGAAGAGTACCAAAAAAATATTTAGAGTTTCTGGTTCTTAAAACAATCAATTCTTTGCCTGGCCGATGTGGCTCAGTTGGTTGAGCATCATACACCAAGAGGTCACAGGTATGATTCTGATCAGGGCATCTGCCCAGGTTGTGGGCTTGATTCCCACTGGAGAGCCAATCAATGTTCCATGTTTCTATCTTTTCCTTTCTCTCTCAAAAAAAAAAAAAAAAAAAAAAAATCAATAAAGACATTTAAAAAAATACACAAAACAATCAGTTCCTTCTCTTTCCTCTCCCCTTCTTCTTCCTATTAGGGAGGTGATAAGGTATAATTCAATTAGAAGGAATTTAGTAAATCATTCGCTGCACTTAATTAAGGAAGTAGATTTTAATCAGGATTGTATGTATAATTTTTCTGTTTTAATTGTAAGTAATAATGAGGGAGATAGTCCATACTTTTGAAAATTGGAAAGAATTACGCTTTTTTTTTTTTTTTTTTTTTTCAGGGCTCTGCAGCATCGAGCTGATGTGTCTTGCCTTTGGAAGCTAGTTGGGGATGCTTGTACCAGTCTGCATGCTGTCTCAGCATCTAAAGTGAATGTTAATGTTTTAGGAGTCCTTCTAGGCCAGAAAGAAGGAAAACAAGTATTGAAGAAAAATGAGCTCCTTCATCTTGGAGGAAGGTAATTTACAAAGATTGCCAGATAATGACATTCAGATTGAATAAGGATATAACAACAAAACTTAACATCTACTTTTACATTTCCATAGGTGTTACGGGCGGGCATTAAAACTGATGTCTACATCTAATACGTGGTGTGACCTTGGAATTAATTATTATCGTCAAGCACAACATCTAGCAGAAACTGGCAACAACATGAATGATCTTAAAGACTTGTTGGAGAAATCATTACATGTATGTTTTTGAGAAATTTTTCATAAACTTAAAAAAATGAAGTTCTTTTCTGACAAATTTTATTGATAAAGGAAATAATTTTAGTGTTTTTACATTAACCATATTTATCTTGATATATGTACTGACATTCAAAGAGTTAAAAAAATAATCTAACTTTATTTTTCAGTGTCTGAAAAAGGCAGTGAGACTCAACAGTAAAAGCCACTTACACTGGAATGCTCTTGGTGTGGTTTCATGTTATAGTGGTAAGAATTGAATAACACTTCAATAATTTTAGAAGATTGCTCATTTCAGGTAAAAAAGTACAGTTTCATTAAATTCTGTATTTTTTAGGTATTAAAAATTATGCCCTTGCTCAACATTGTTTCATCAAATCAATCCAGTCAGAGCAAATTGTGAGTGTTCTATGCGTCTATCAATGAAAAAGGACTGAAATTTAGTGTGAATAATTTTCTGAGACTTCCATAGAGACAAGCCCTAATTTTTATACATATATATATTTTAGAATCCTGTTGCATGGACCAACTTGGGAGTGTTATACCTTGCAAATGAAAAAATTGAGGTAACTGTGCTGACTGCTTTGTCATATTAAAAGTAAAGAACATTTTCTGTACCTGATCTCTTCATAATAGCACAACTTCTTGTGGAGAAATAATTTCATACATTGTTATCTATCCAGTATGCTCTCTAATATGCTAGATAATTATATTCAGTTTATGTTATTGAATAATGAATGTATAAGATTTATTTTCTTTTCTATACCACTCAAGAAATTTATGGTTTCATAATTCTTTTGGTTTTTCCTTTAGAGATTAAAACAATTCTATGAATTATTTGGGAGTGGTTTTTTTTTTGTTTGTTTTTTTATATCTATACATGTAAGGGGAATCCCATGTAGGTATTGAGGGTAGGGTGATGAAATAAGGGAAATGATTAGTACTCTCTAGCAGTTTAAATTTAACATTTTTTGGGTGATTTATATTCGGCTTTATCTGATGTTAATCCCTTTATAATCCAAATGCAATTTGTCATACTCAAACAGAGAATTGGGCATATGTTTGTAGGTGATGTTTAGAAGTTTCTATAAATCCACAGATAGCATCTGTACTGTTTTGTTTCAGCCAGCATACCAAAACTCACTTTGTCTTCCTCCCAGCTAAGCTCAAAAAGAAGGGAATAGATACAGCCTTCCTTACTTTCTTCAAATCTAGCAAATAGATAGGTAATTCGTTAAAAGTTCTACCAAATGTAAGGTGAACATCTATATGCCCTTTCATTGGGACCAGAACCCCTAACCCCGAAGAAAAATCTGTTGTACCCAGGAATGCTCTGGTGGAGCACTGATTTAAGTGTTGCTAATTGTGTTTAAGCAATCATATATGTTGATAAGTCTCAGTTTTCTTATTCTCTTTATAATTTTTAAGCATAGACAATTTAATATTAAATATATAAAATGACTTGATATGTTATTTTTTGTTTTTGTTTCCTAGCAAGCTCATGAAGCTTTCAAAACAGCTCAGTCCCTTGATCCATCTTATTTAATGTGCTGGATTGGACAAGTAAGATAACATTTAGTTATTAATAATCCTCTTGACATAAATAACTTATTAATATAAGTGGTATAAATAACCTATTAATAAAGTGATAATAAGAATAACAGGCTCTTTGTATACATTATTTCAGTTAAACTTTCATCAGTTCTTTGAGTTGGTGGTAGTTGTTAAACTTTTTATAGATGTGGAATTGAAGCTCAGAGATCCTAACTAAGTATAGTGCCCAAAGTTCTATAGCTTGTAATGATTAAGCATTGATTTGGGAGGCTTTTAACCCCATCAGTCTGACATTATTATGCTTAAAGAATAAACCAAGAGCTATGTTTACTCCTACCCCAATTGAAAATCTACAATATCATTTTGATTGTTTTCTCGTTTTCTGAAAAGTTTTCATAATTTTATTTGCACTTGTTTGTATGAGTCTGCTAACCCCCTCCCCCCAAATTTAGATTTTTTTTGTACTGCCAAATAGATATCAAGATACTTGGTTAGTGATATGAGTCTGTCACTGATTGTTTTAAAAAAATTTTTTTAATCTTAAAAAAATTGCTGGATTCAATGTTCTCACCTGAAAAAAAGGGGGATTAGAAAGGGTAGCCTCTAAATCCTATGTAGTTGAGAAATTAGTAAGTGGTTGTTTTGTTGTTTGTTTGTTTTTTGTTCAGAGAATAGTAGAGGCATCACCAATATCAGAAAATTATTAACCTAAATTATTATTAATAATTATTATTGTACTTTTAACTCTTGGATCTAATTCTAGTTAATTGGTGAAGAAACCAAGTTAGCAAGGCAAACTTCCTGTTCCCCTAACTGTGGTAGCATGTGGGAGCAATGGCATTACTCTACTAATCTCTATATAAGTTATTAGACAAAGGGCTAAAGAATTTTCATTTCTATCAGTTCCAAATATCTCAGTGCTCTAGGTTGATTCATCTTAGATGTTGTCAGAAAAACATATTTTTCTTTATTTTTCAGATATTTTGGTTCTTAAAAATAATTTATTTCAGGAAATAACTAGTAAATTTAATTAAAATAGTAACAATAGAATTGAGATTTAATGCTAATTTTTAATAATATTAGTAATAAGTGATAACTAAAAAACCCTGATTTCTTTAAAAGATAGTCTTGAAAGTAATTCTAACTTATTACATAGTCTCATAAAGTCAATAGCACAGGTATATTATTTATAATTCTGAGGCAGTTTTAAAAACAAACATGTTGTGACTCTACCCCATATTTCTGGAAACTAGGGGAGAGGACCTTCTTTTAAAAAAGTTACACAAGTGAATCCGAGCTGACCCTGTGATTAAGAATCCTATTCCAGACAAATACCAGTATGAATCAATCAAGGGTGAGAGGGGAGGGAGGAGGTTGCAGATGGCATTCTGAAAGCATTTGTCTGCGTAAGGTCCAATTTAATAAGTCATTCTTGTCCTCTGAGCCATGGGAATATAGTAGCCAAGACTGAACTAGAAATTAACTTTACTTTTAAGCACAGCTTTTAAACCTTTGTTTTTTCAGTTTCATTGATGATAATGATGATGATGATGATGATTACTCCTTTTAAACATGTTAGGAACCTCTTTTTCTTCGTAGGCTCTTATTGCAGAGACAGTTGGAAGTTATGACACCATGGATCTTTTCAGGCACACCACAGAACTCAGTATGCACGTAAGAATTTGAGCATTCTTCTTAGGATTCACTAATGAGAAAAGTATTATCTTTGTTGAGAAAATGGATATTTGGTGGTATCAGATGTTAGTGACAGCACTTGTCTCTCCTCTTTATTCTTTCTCAAAAGCAGATAAGCTATCTTTAAAGACATCAAGATCTGATGAAATGACATTGGTATTCATTAGATACAGTAGTAGTCTTGTAGAGTAGAAAGAGACTCTAGAAAAAATAAACATAAGATGAGTACTAACTCAGTTGATATTCCTAGATTATTTATGAAAGTGTTTTACGATTCTTTTGATTGGTAATTATTACTTTGACCTATGGGAATGGTGCTGAAAAGCAGCAAACTAAGCCATCAGGTGGGACTCTGTTGTCTGTACTTAATTTATCCCATTTGATTCTTCTACTTAGGGTTGAAGCAAGACTTAAATATGTTCTTAGCTGTATTATTTCATAGTGACCCTGTAAAGGTACTTAACAGTTAACTTAAAACTAAGGTGTGCTATTTATTGTATTGAAGTGCATTGTTTCATTTCTTCATTTTGTATTGATATATTTATTACTCTATGTCCACTTGTTAACTTTGGCTTTTTTAAAGACTGAGGGAGCAATGGGTTATGCATACTGGGTCTGTACTACATTGCAAGATAAAAGTAACAGAGAAACAGAACTGTACCGGTACAACATCCTCCAGATGAATGCTATCCCAGCAGCACAGGTTGTTTTGAGTAAATACATAGGTAAGGCACCTGTTATATGATGACAAGATATTTTAATAACTGTTGAAATAATTTAATGAAATTTTAAAATTAGTTAATTACAAATTAAATATTAGTGTTTCTTAAGTCATGAATTTGCCTTTTCTAAGCCAGTGGCCAAGCAGTCTACTTTTTAAACTTTTATAAAGACTTTGAAGAGGGATGAAATGTTAGCTAGTGATTCAAGATAAAAGTGATTTCCATTTACTTTAGCTACAGTCTTAGGCCAAGTATTTTACTTTCCTTAACTTCTTTTAACCTTGGAAAGTAGAGATAACAGCATCTGGGTTGTAGAGATGTGAGTATTAAATGAGATAATGTGCTTTAAGTTTCAAACCCAGTGCCTTTAACCTCCCACTTTAATACCTGATTTTTCTTTAAGATACTGGAAAAATATGTTTAGGCCTAGGAAAAAGATAAAATGGTGAAGTTTTATTAACCATCTATTATAATAATTTCCTTTCCTTAATAAAACTACTATTGAATTTTATTCTCCCCTCTATCATTTAGTAGCCATAATAAAACCCTGAGCACGTTACCAAATTGAATTTTAGTTTTCTTACCTATAAGCTCTACAAAATGTGCAGAGTAACTGGCATACTTTACATGCTCAAGAAATGTTAGTTTTGCTAGTATTTTTAAAAAATCTTTTGACAAAATTCAAATAAAGAAACAAGGCATTTAAGCAGGAATATTGGCAGTTGAATAACATAAAGAGTCAAATAAATTGTGAAAAGCTGAAGAGAAAATGCCTCATCATAGATATTGAATGGTTATAATATTCTTCTTGCATTGAGCCTGGGGCACTTGAGAAGAATGCTATTCTTTTAAAATCAGCACTTTGGGGCATCCACATGTTATTGGTATGCTAAAATGAATGAATCTAATGAATACCTAGAGCCTCTGTGAAAGCATATGATCAGAAATTTCATTGCTAGGTTTCCTTACAGAATGGGTAATATTTATGAAGGATTTTCATAAAGAGGTAAATCTAGAGTTTTCTGCAAAATTCAGATTACTAGAGCAACAAACAAATCATTTCCTGAGAGTTTTACACAGTTACATTTTTAACTCCTTAGTGGAGTCATAATGATAACATATTCATTTAACAAATTCAACTACATGTGCTTAGCCAAAAATGAATAAATTAGGAGAGAAAAGAGGGAGAGTACAGTATCTTCATCTGTCCTGCTGGGTGCTTCAGGACGAGTAGATGAAAGGCACGCTCTCCTTTTACTCATTTTGTCTCTATTTTGGTGCCCCTCTCTCCTTGTGTGATAACTTGAGGATTTTTCAAGAATAACTTGACTGTGATTTTCACCTTATGCTTTGATGTTAGAATCTAAACATCATATAGTATAATATGATTTGCCAGGGCTGACCAGCAGCCCCTGAACAGCAGATGAACAGATTGCTTCGACACAGTTTCACTGTGAAAGAGAGGGCTAAGGTATGGCCTGGCCAAAGGGACTAGGCAGCCTCAATTTCCTGCCTTGTTAGCTTTTTATTGCAGTTTTTATCTTTAGACTAGAGGCCCGATGCATGAAATTTATGCAAGAGTAGGCATTCTTTCCTCCAGCTGCCTGCACTGGCTTCCCTCTGGCACCCGGGACCCAGGCTTCCCTCACAGCCCTGGCTTCATCAGGAAGGTTGCCCGGAAGGATGTACAGTTTAATTAGCATATTATGCTTTTATTATTATAGATACAATCAGTAAGGTAAGCAATCTTGAGAGGACACATGTGTTTACATTGTCCTCTAGGCAAGGGTATCCAGGGATTAAGGATAAGGATTCCAGTGAGCACCAGGGGGTCTGCATGTGCAAAGACTTGTTTGGAAAAGTTAAGGAGTAATTAGGGGTGCCACCTTCTGCACTCCCTTCAGTTTGTATTTCAATAAACAGGGCAGGTGGCCTTCCACACACTTCCCCTTTATCAGAATGTCCTCCTTATAAACTTTCCAGTCAAGTCTTGTGTGCTCTCCAACAATGATTATACCTTATGCTTTATGTTAAAATATAACCATCACATAAGCTATGATATGATTACACTATATTTTGTTAAATAATTTAAGGGATTTGAAGGCCTGCTTAATATAGCTTTTAATTAGATGTTTTCTTTGTACATCATCTGATGCATGATCTTTTTTGACATGAAAATTTCAAAATACTGCATTGGCAATACCAAAGTCATCATCTGTTTCTAGTGTATGGTATTGAGTTATTTTTAAAAAACATTCATAAAATTGGAACACAACCCCCAAGAAAAATAAATCCTGGGAAAGTTTGCATGATTGGCTGAAGAACTTAATTTTCCTTATAAATCAAATGCATAGTTTTAACATGAGGTACATTTTCAAGTTATTATATCATTAGGGATAAAAATGGTTAAACTTTAAAACATTTAAAGTATATAGTAACTATAAATGTTACTGAATAATTTGGAAGAATTATAATTTGTAGTAACAATGTTACTGAAAAATGTGGAAGAATTATGAAATAATTTACTGGCATTTTATAGTCAAGATAATCAGACTGCTATTCTTAATGCCAAAGATTTCAAGAGCTAATCTGTTGTTTAAAATATTTAAAAATTGAAAATAAAATTAATATCTTACAAACACAACCATTATGTACATGTAAAGAACAGGTATTTTTTGATTTCCAGAAAGAATCCCGAACTATGCTCCAGCTCTCACAATGTTGAGTTATTTGAATGAACATCTACAGCTGAAAAAGGAAGCAGCAGAAGCACTCCACAGGTAAACTTTGCCTTTAACCGAGATGCCATCCTTATATGTTAGTGGCCTTTTGTAATTTAGTCTCACTCTCATGAAGAAGGTACTAAATAATAGTTTTCATTTTTTCCTAATATTTATTATTATTACATCTATGAGGGTGAAAATACACAATTTAAATTTTGAGCTATTATATTTTGGTTTTTGTTCCTTAACCTCAGAGAGAGACAGAGACAGAAACAGAGAGACAGAGAGACAGAGAGACAGAGAGAGAGAGAGAGAGAGAGAGAGAGAGAGAGAGGAAAAAGGAACACCAAACTAAAAAACCCTCAGATTCTGTTTTAGAAAAAATCTATCCCTTTATATCCCTTTAGACTGTGTCTAGCTTTATTAAATACATGTATTTATTCAGAGAAGGAATCAGAATATTATTTATTTGTTTGAGCCACTTTAGTCTACTCTATATTTACCCATCAGTAAATGTTTGTTGAACTGCTGTGAATCAAGTAGTGTCCTTGGCTCTGGCAGCTAGCAGTGCTAAAGGGAACAGGAGCTCCCTTTTTCATGGAGCTCCTGTTCAGGTCAGGGAGGCACATGATAGGCTAGTAGGTCATCTGTGATGGTAATAATTGCTAAGAAAGAAAATCAAAGCAGAGGACCAGAAATTACAGAGGCAGGCAGTGAATTTGAGATAGGTTTTAAGAAGGGTGGGTTTAATAAAGAGGCAAATGAGGCCTGGCCTTAATGAAGCCATTTGGTTGTCAGGACAAGAAAACTCCAGGCAGAAGAAAGAATAAGAGCAAGTACTCTGAGTCAGGGTTGCACTTGGCATGTCGAAGAAACAAGGACATGTGTTCAAGTGCAGTGACCAGACAGGACAGTAGGAAAGGAAATAAACAAAGCTTGATTCTCTGCAAATTATTTGATTCATGAATAAGAAAATAACTTGATCTTATGAGGACCAGATGAAAAGTTAAAAGACCTGGTTGCTGAATTTCTGAGGTGCCCCCAATCTAAATAAATAGATTTTTAGAAGAAGTCGTGTTAGATTTAAAAAAAAGTAATTGAGGTTTCCTAAATACTTTGCCATTTTTTAATGGATCTCTCTGTAGTGCAAAGGAGTAATCGCTAGATGGTACTGAAGGTTATATAATGAAGTTATTTTTCCAGGTGTAAGTGAAAAAGATTATGAAAAACCACAATTATATTTCTTTCCCTGTCACAATAAACTTAACATCAAGCAAACAGTATAAATATGATAGAATACAACAGTGAGCAGGATTTTTAAACAGAAAACTAGAAATCTTTAGAGTGCTCACTACGTTTTGGGGAACATATTATAATCACACATTATGGATCTGATACTAAAATTATACCGTTAGCCTAAAATGGCAACTCCAAAGTCACTTGGGTATGTACCACTCCTTCTTAACCTGTTCATTACTATGGTTTTTGCCTTAAACAAGTTTTTGAGGCTTGAAACTACAAGTTAGGTATTAAATCTAACCAGAAATATAGTTTTTAATATAGTATTGTCTCTACAATTCTCTCTCCTAGACTTCTCTGGTTAATTTTTGTATTTCATGTAATAGGGGGAGTAGAAGCTTTTCTTGGGTGTTTCTTCCTGGCTAATCCTTTTTAAACAGAAAATAAAATAAAATATTACTAAGTATTTCATTCCTTTAGTTGTTAAACATTTCCCTGCTTGCCCAAAGGGGACTGTGCAGGAGAAGGTAAAAAAATCTGGGCTGTCAGCATGTTGGTGAATTAATTCTAAGCCTCTGAGGACTCCTTGTAACACCTTCCTTTCTCTGAAGTCAGTATTGCTCACATATGTTTCTGTATGTAACCATTAAAGGCACATGAAAGCATTTCCTGACTTCCTAACTCAAACTACTGTTATATAAATATTTTAGAGTGTTTCTATATAGTTCTAATATGTCAGAAATTAAGACATCAACATAGTTCTTTTTCCATTCTTAGATTAAAATTTTTGGAATATTTAAAACTGTTCCTTAATCTGAGAGAAAGAGAGAGAAAGAAAGAAATGATTTCACTTATAAGATTCACTTTATTAAAATAATTTTTCTGGCAATCTAAAATCTAAGTGTTAAGTATTCTTTTGTGGTACCAGTTTAATAAAGTGTGAATAGGTGTTATAACTTAGCATTAAAGAAATAGTGGAATTAAACAAAAGCAAAAATCTATAGATTCAATTAATGAAGAAGGGTGAAAAAATGCTATTGCATATAGATAACTTAAAATGCCTTTTTTTTTTTTTTTTTTTTTTTTTTAGGGCAATTTTGTTGTTACAGAATGCAGAAGACCAGGTTAATTATCATGATGCAGTTAGAAATTATGGCAGATTGTTATGGTAAGCATGTTTTTTCCCCATTAATTCTGTGATCTACTTGATATTTCTGGTGAAAGCTATGGAACTAGTGAGGTGATACAAATTTCTAGAGTAGTGGGCTGGTGACATTCTCCCAGGATACACAATTCCCACAAAGGCAGGCTATGTTAATGGTTTCCTGTCCCTGGACAATACCTCACCCCAGTGTGCTTTATGAGGAGCAGGTTTAGAACTGATGGCTGTGGACTACAGAAGAGAACATTTGGAAGAGAGGCAGTTGCTGTCTCTAAAGTAAAAGCCTAATTAATTGGAAGAATTGGATTAATTCTGATTTCCTGTATATTTTTAAACTATTGATGGACATTTTATTGAAATAGTCCATAAAAATTTCTGAGTGTGCGTATTTGGTGAGTGGAGAGCCACATAGCTGCCTTCAGATTCTCAAAGACTTACTTCAAAAGATATATATTTTTAAAAGATTAAAAATGAACCAGTTGTTTTAGAGGACAGAACTAGGACTATAGAATAGGTGTTATGGGGTAAGGTTTTAGTTGAGGCTAAGGAAGCATTCCTCAAGTTGAGAGCTGCCCCCAAATTGAATGTATTTATTCATAAACAGTCTAAAGTAGCACTCTTACCTTTATCAAAATATTTATCAAATTTGACTTTATTGATTTTAAAATTCTTCTACCTTTGTAAAAATTTTATGAAAAGATTTCCAATAACACATTAAAAATAGATTATGGTTTCTGGTAATAGTGATGGATACTAAGTAAGAATATCAAATATACAGTGTTTCTATTCCAGGTGATCGCAGTTTCTCTTCATTTTATATAAGTAAAAAAAGTTATTTTCTGTTATTAAGAAGTATTACATTTAGTATCAGATATAACAGATTTTTTACTTGTATACCTATTAAGTACAGAAAAGAGCATGTATAGTTTTATCTATGGAATTTTAATGTTTCTTTCTATCTGCTCTCCAAACAGTGTATACAAAGGCTAGATTTGATTCTGATTAAGGAATTTTTTTACTTATTAAGTTTGTCCAAGGTTCTAGAACTCCATACTTATGGGAATAATATTTAATGTATTAAGCTTAAAAATACATTAAAATTGAAATTATTTTTATAATTTTGGATTTTAATTCGTGTTTTTTTTTTTAAATACTTTGCACTTTAGAAAACTAATCATATTCACATATTATTTAAAGGAAGCAAAGTGTAAAGTTAAATCCCCTTAGTAAGTCCCATGTGAAATAAGTGATATGCTTTTTATTTTAAGTCCTTTTTACAGTTTTAACTCTGATAGATGAAGTCAAGTCATTAGAAGAAATGTGGTATAATAATATCTCTATATTTTGATGATGTAAGCCAGAATTATTTTTATGTTAAAAGTAAGTTTTGTTTTGCTTCTTAGTTCTATTGGTGAATATGATAAAGCTATCCAGGCTTTTAAGTCAACACCCCTTGAAGAGTTAGAAGACATCATAGGTTTTGCACTGGCTTTATTTATGAAGGGTCTGTATAAAGAGAGCAGTAAAGGTGAGTATATTGCTTAAAGCTGAAGGTCGCATCTTACTTTTCCAGGGTTCAGAGGAATTTGATCACAATGACCTTATGTAAAGAAAGATGTAATATTGAGCTGGGGGTACGGGTTGCAATGTTTATAAACATCTGCTTAGGAGTCAGAACAATACTAGGAACTTTTTATCTGTTTGTCAGTTAGAAGGTTATTATGGGGAATAGTCCTTATAGCAGTGTATTAGCTGTGTTTTATTTTCATTATTTAGATAAGGAAACTGAGCCCCAAGATCACTTATGGTTGACATGAGTTAGCATTTGAAAGCAGGTCTTTACTACTTCACAGTGCTTAAAAGTAAATTTCTGATAGATGAAGATCTCAACCATTGTTAATAATACTATATTTCGGTTTCTGCAAAGGTGCTAATTGAGTGCAATTTCACATATATGGGCCAAACCTCTGTACGTGCAGCTCATTGTAAAGATCTCTTTGGAGTTGCTGGTCTGCACATGGAGTTTAGTGCTATCTCTGTGGCTGCCGGCCTTCACTTGTTTTGAAGATGGTGACTAAGACCCCTCTCAATATTCTGAAGATAGAAATTAGGGACATCATATAATAATCCCAATGTTAGCCCAGAATCACCTTGGGACAGCTAAACCAGTTAGATTATTACACATTTTTATTTCATCTGCTTGAAAACAAGAGAACAACAAGATGTAGTTTAAGTTAGATCTTTTGAAAAATAGAATTAGGAAAGGAAAAATCTGATTGTTTTCCTTTGTTTCCAACCCTATATAACAGCCTATGAGAGAGCCTTGTCTGTTGTTGAATCAGAGCAAGACAAAGCCCATATATTGACAGCTATGGCAATAACGGAGTATAAACAAGGAAAAATGGATGTAGCCAAGACATTGCTGTTTAAATGGTATGTGTGGTTGATGTAAAGAGTTGATTTAACATGACTAAATATTTAAATAATGGTTTCAAATTTGGAGCCATTTAAAATGAAGATCACAATGCTCTAGGAACTGTTTGGTGAACAAAAGAGATTAGACCCACCTGGTTCTGAACTGATGGTCACCAGTGGAACTAGAGATCATGGCTTAATTCTTAGTCCTGGATCCATCCAGTCCTTCAAAATCATCCTGTGCACTGTTTGTTTGTTTGTTTGTTTGTTTACTTACTCATTTACTTCTTCATTTTTTAAAGGAGTAATTTATCACCTGATCTAGTAGAATCTTAAAATTTAATGAAGCCAGTTGTAACTGTCTTTTTACCTCTTGCATCCCCAAAGAGATTTTTTTCCTTTTTCAAGTTAAAGTTGAGTCTTAAAAAAAAAAAAAATGCTACCAATATAACTTGTATCTGTTTCTATATTTTGGGCATAAGTTAAAAATAACAGGCAATAATATATATGGTTATTCATATAGTATTTTTTGACTTTGGATTTTTTTTAGAAAGTTAACCTTAATTTTTTCAAAAGCAATAGGTAATTAAGATATGCTATTAGACAGTGGTTATCAACTAACTGCTTTATTGGCATTTTTAGTGGTACAAATACTCATAGTACAGAATGGTCTCCCATTGCAGGAAGAGTACATCTCTCTCTCCCACCCATTAAATGCTAAGGACACTCCTCAATCATTGTAAAAACCCAGAATTACCTCTCTGCGTTATTTTGTAATGTTTTAAATATTTCTATTATATTTTAATAGACTGTTTAAAAAGTTTTAGATGTTCTCTTTTTTTATAGTACAGTGTTCATAATTATTATTAGAAATATTTATTTTTTTCTAAAACTTGGATATAATGACCAAAAAATAAATTTGGCTATTGCTGCTCTGTGAAAGGCCAGATAGTCAGGGAAATTGCTGTTACAAGAAGCCAAGCAGTTTGTTCTTATATTTATCTCAAAGCTGGGCTTAGTTTACTGAATAATTAAGTAAATTGCTTTTCTTACTAGATGTTAAATATGTTGTAATAGATAGTAACAGACTACTGTATTCATAACTAATCAGCAATTTTAAAATGTATTTATAGCTCTGTCTTAAAGGAGCCAACCATAGAGAGCCTTCAAGCTCTGTGTGCCTTGGGATTGGCAATGCAGGATGCTACACTGTCAAAAGCAGCACTTAACGAGTTACTGAAGCACGTCAAACAGAAAGACAGTGATTATCAGAGGTGCCTTCTTACTTCAGCGATTTATGCGCTGCAAGGCCGCAGTGTGGCAGTGCAGAGACAGGCATCTAAAGCTGTTCACAGGTAAATTCTGTGCTTGTAAACTTGGGGCTGAATTATACTTGATGAGGTAGTCTCTGACACTTGGATCTTAATAGGAATATAAAACGAGGTGATAAGCATATGCCAAAATGTGTTGTTGTTATTTTTATGAAATTGCCCATAAAATCATATTATTTCATCTATGAAGATTTTTTTTAATTCAGTTAATAGAAAGAAAGAGAACAGAAATTTTGTCCTTCCAAACTTTTAGTATGTAAGCCCTTACTAATTCCCAAGTATGTGATGTTGTCAGGTTGTTATATGATAACTGTCCATTTTAATGGCTTTAAGAATATTTTGGCCACATAAGCATTCATTAAGGTATTCAAAGTTTGGAGTATAGAAACCTGTTCTCACTAGCAGCAGTGGTATTTATCTTCAGCAGTAAAGTTTTATTATGAATATGTTTTCCTTCCATAGTTCTCATCTCTTTGTCCTTTCTTTGAACACATATATTACATTTCCTTAACTTTTCTTAATTAGATCTTATAGCTTTGTAATCATCACATTGCTAATATTTTTTCTTATTTTCGTAAGGATTGTTGTATAAAAGAGATATAAAATATGTTTTCTAAAAATTAACACACACGGGCAATTATATGAAACTAGAGGCCCAGTGCACAAATCGGGGTGGGGGCTGAGAGGGTAGGGTCGCTCAGCCCGGCCTGCACTCTCTCGCAATCCAAGACCCCTCAGGGGTTGTTCAACTGCCAGTTTAGGTCCGATCCCACAGGAATCCCTGCAGAATCGGGCCTAAAAAGGCAGTCAGACATCTCTCTTGCAATCTGGGACCACTGACTCCTAATCGCTCACCTGCTTGCTTGCCTGATTGCCCCTAACCACTTGCCTGCCTGCCTGATCCCCCTAATTGCCTTTGCCTCGCCCGCCGCCCCAGCTTTATCTGAAAGGTCATCTGGAAGGGCATCCAGAATGACATCTGGAGGTCTTTTGGCTAACCGGTCTAATTAGCATGATACAATTGTATTATTATAGATTGTTTTAGCTGTCTAAAAGATTTTAAGCCTAGGTACTAGATAAAATGCTGGTTGCTTGGACTTTCTGTGATTAAAGTAACTCCCTTCTCTAAGCCCTTTGATTTTTATGATCTCTGTAGTAACCCAGCTGATCCTGCTCTTTGGTCTCTGTTATCCCGAGTGGTTGCTCAGTATGCACAACGAAATGCAAAGGTGAGTAACGTTCTAAATTCTGGCAAAAAAGATTAAGTAACCTGTGATGTTGTAAATATTATAATTTTAAAGTATTAGCATAATACTGAAAAAAAATTAACTAATGTAGCAAGGGAGTTCTGTTATTTAACCATAATTTCCAATAGTTACTCAAAAAGAGTACATTGAGTTCCTTTTATGTACTTATGTACTGCTTTAGGTGTTTTGGACGATGCAGAGAATTAGATGGACTTTTGAAGGCAGACATTTTAAATGACTATGTGATAAGATTATGCTTATAATGTTGCCACTTAATAAGCATTAGCTATTGTGTTTTGAACCCCCAAAGATAAATTTATTTAAAAGTTTTTTTTTGTTTTGTTTTTTTTAATCAATCTTTATTGTTCATATTATTACAAAGGTTCCTCATTTCTTCCCCCCTCCACCAGGTTCCCACTCCACCCTCCGCCCCCTTCCCCTCCCCCATTGTCCTCATCCCTAGGTGCACAGTTTATGTTCAGTCTCTTCCTCCCTCCCTTTCCCCGATAGTAAATCCCTTTTCAGATAGTAAATCAGTTACTTAGCATTTTCTCATATCAATAATACCTCCACATGCCCAAAGATACACTTCACACAAAAGACATTTCCAAATAGGTCAACCAACCTCATCCAGGCCCTGCACAAGGCACTCACAGATCAACACCCCAGCGCTATACTAACTCAACATATCCAGATCTAAGCCTTCATCACTTGATTCAGCAGACCCTCAAGTTCCCGCAAAAGTTTCCAGCCATTTCTGAGAGGCAGCCTTGGGGCGGGAGTAGGCGAGGAGTGAGCTGTTCCGGGCCTGGCTGCTCCGGGCGTGGCCTCTTGCTCTGGTCTGTTCCACAACCAGCTGCTCCGGGTCTGGCTACTTCCGCTCCCGACCTGGTTGCTCCGGGCTTGGCTGCTGCTGCTCCGGGCCTGGCCACACCCAACCCCGCTGCTCTGGGCCCGGCTGCTCCGGGCCGGCCACTCCGGGCCTGGCTGCTCCCAGCCTGGCAGCTGCCGCTCCAGGCCTGGCCGCATCCAACCCTGCAGCTCCGGGCCTGGCTGCTCCCAGCCTGGGAGCCACTGCTCCTAAAAGTTTTCTTAAATATAAGAATACAAGAACTAGAACACTGCCAATGTTTAAAAAATGTAAATCTAAACAGGATTATCTTCTATTTGTTTTATATTGACATTTTAAAATCAATGTGATATACAGGGTATTATATACTGTACTTCAATTCATAAAAGCCAGATATTTTTCAGGAGTCTATGAAGTATTTTGTTAACTTCTATGGTTGATATGAGCTTTCACTGTTTATTTACCTAGTTGGTAAACGTAATGATAGTAGCTAATAAGTTTTGAACACTTACTACATCTAAAAAGTTCAATATCTGAAGTCTGTGTGGGCCTGTTCGTTTGTTGTCCCTACTGGCTTTTGCACACAGTTGTTCCTACTGGCTTTGTTTACTTGATTGTGTATACTTGAAAATAATTTGCAGCCTAGGATTAAGGTACCTTTCTATAGATAGAAATTGCACTTATTTTCTGCCAGGTGCTTGAGAGCTCCACCTATCTGGAACCACCTTACACAAAGTTGAGAACTTGAGGTTTTGGGACCAACTAGGCTACTCTGTGCCTAGATTTCAGTGTCATTTGAAACTTGGTTTACTTCTTATCCAGCTTCACTTGAGGGATCTCAGCTTATGTTTTATATAGGTTTCCTAATACTCCCCCTTTTTATGTGAATACTGGGCTTTAATTTTTGTCCCACGAGTCCTTCAAAATGAAAATTCATATTTGTTAGGATCTGCAAATGGCAGAAGACCATCATTATTAGACACTAAAAGGAATTAGTTATTATGTTCCAGCTACTGTGCTAGTCATTTTTATGTAATTTGTCATTGAATCCTAACAACCATATGAAGTAGGTCCAATGAATGTCCATTGTATAAAGGAGGACACTTGAAACATAGAGATTAAATAATTTGTGCAAAATCACATTTAGTGGCTATGGTAATGTGTAATCCCAAATATAACTTCTGAATCCTCCTCTTCTGCTGTGTTGTCATTCTTGTTTTTAATCCATCTTGTATTTGTTTTATATTGACATTTTAAAAAGTTTAGTTTTAGCATTTATAAAAAATATATTTTATTGATTTTTCACAGAGAGGAAGGGAGAGGGATAGAAAGCTAGAAACATAAATGAGATAGATACATCAACCAGCTGCCTCCTGCACACCCCACACTGGGTATATGACCGTAACCAATGTGCATGCCCTTGACCGGAATCGAACCTGGGACCTTTCAGTCCACAAGTCAACGCTCTATCCACTGAGCCAAACCAGTTTCAGCATTCTTTATGTGTTAAAATACTGTTTTAAAAACATTTCTGTTCCTTACTGGTTTAGCTCAGTGGATAGAGTGTCTGCCTGTGGACTGAAGGGACCCAGGTTCCATTTCGGTCAAGGGCCTGTACCCTGGTTGCAGGCACATCCTCAGTTGGGGGTGTGTAGGAAGCAGCTGATCGATGTTTCTCTCTCATCAATGTTTCTAACTCTCTATCCCTCTCCCTTCCTCTCTGTAAAAAATCAATAAATATATATTTTTAAAAATTTCTGATACACTTACATACTAATGATATTAAATGAAGATTATAGTATACTTCTAATTTAAAAAGAAACATCCTTATTTTTTTCTAGGTAAAATATGTAACTGAATTTTTAAAAATGAAGGATTTTATATCAACTTTATGAAAACCATTATGCATATGTTTGTTTGTTTAATGTATTTTTATTGATTTCAGAGAGGAAAGGTGAGGGACAGAGAGAGAAAAAAACATTAATGATGAGAGAGAATCATTGATTGGCTGCCTCTTGTATGCCTTGCACTGGGGATAGAACCTGGGCATGTGCCCTGACCTGGAGTTGAACTGAAACCTTCTGGTTCATAGGTGGACTCTCAACCACTGAGCCATGCTGACCTGGCTGCATATGTTTTTCTCATTTTAGTATTGAGTTGATTATTGAAGCAGTGATGAGCTTCATTAACTTTGTTCATTTTACTATGGGAGATAGACGTTTTTAAAATACTATATTTTTGTGGAGAAACCATGTTAATCTTATAATAGGTTTTGTGGTCTCTCACCCCCATTCTCTTTTTTTCTCTTTCAGTCTTTCTTTTACAGTCTTTTATATTGTTAGAAAATGTGCATGTTTATTTGGTACTATGTAAAATCATATAAGTTTTAGATCTTTAATGAGCAGAGTTGAAATAATTATATTTAAAAAAGGAATTTTAAAATAAAAATATTAAACTGGTCTTTTAAAACAGTAATAATAAGTTGATACTTAAGGAGTTTAGAAGTTGTGAATGCGATAAAACCGAACCTTTCACATGCTTTAATAGAGATTTTTATCAGTTTTATTTAAAAAAAATAATTCTTTTTTATTATAGGGAGGTGCTGTAGCAGGAAATGTGGCTCATATTCTGGACTCAAATCATGGAAAGGTTAGTTTGTCCTAGTAAAGGAAATGTTGTACTTGTTAAATAATATATTTGTTGAAAGAATAATTCTTCATTATATTTAATAAAATCATACTTTTAGTCACATTGAATGCAGGTAGCTTTGAAGAGAATTAGTTTATACCTTTCTTTTCTCTTGTTAGAAGGCATTACTGTACACTGCAGTAAATCAGTTGGCTATGGGAAGCAGTTCAGCAGAAGATGAAAAAAATATTGCACTAAAGACCATTCAGAAGGCAGCTCTCCTTTCTCCAGGTGAATATAATACAACCCACTTCATTAATTAGAATTCTGTTCATCTTTCTTTTGTGATTTATAGGAGCAAAGTTTTCATTTTTATGAAATAAGAAAAGGAAATTTTAAGAAAATATTTGAAGATTTTGTATATAAATATTTAACTATCTACATGTGGCTAGTGGTAACTAAGAAGTAATCAATTATTGAAGCAGGCTCAAGAGAATGAATTATACTAGGGGCCCAGTGCACGAATTTGTACACCCTGAAAGGAACTTTGTGCTGTGAAGCGGTGGGCACAGGGATGGGTTTCAGCTCATCCTCTGTGCCCCCACCCTGCCCCTCCTGCCATGGCCCCTGGTCCCTTATTGGCTGGCAGCCCCGCACCTGCCACCACCTCTCCTATGGTCCCGCCCTGCACTGGCACCTGCTGAAAGCATGGAGAAATTAGGGCTGGTGCCAGCAGTGGGTGCAAGCAGCAGCCGCTGCCCCAATCACCCCTCAGGAACGGGGAGGTGGAGAACCCTCAGGGGTGATTGGGGCCAGCAGTTGCCACTCACACCCACTGATGATGTTGAGTGATCTCACACCCACTGATGGTGTTGAGTGATCGGGACTGGTGCTGGGCACTGGCAGCAGGTGTGATTGCTGGCTGCAGCGCCTGCAGCAGGAGCGAGAGGCAGCTGCCGGCCATGATCATCTCTCAGGAGCAGGGGAGGTGGAGAAGCCCTGAGGGGAGATTGGGGCCAGCAGCCACTGCTCATACCTGCTGACAGCACCAAGCGATTGGGGCCAGTATGAGCAGTGAGTGCAATAGGGCTGGTGCCAGCAGCAGGTGCAAGTGCAGGGCGGGACCGTGGCAGCTGTAGCAAAGAATTTTCAGTAACCACCAGAGGCTCACCCCGATGACAGCGACCGGCGCCCCGCCTTGGTCTGGCACCACCACTCACCTGTTCCGCCATCCCGCCGTGGCTGACAGCTGCTGTGATCCGTTCTCTGCCACTTGCTGCTGATGCCTGCCATGTTCCATGTGCACCCCCGGTGGTCAGCTCACATCATAGCGACCAGTTGTTCACTTGTTTGGTTGTTCCACTGTTCAGTCTATTTGCATATTAGGGCTTTATATATATATATTCAAGAGATAATATTATTTTCATTTTCTATCAGGCTTTAATAAGGTTTACCTATAGCTAATAAATTATTTAATTGATATATTTAGTTATTTTATGTGTAGTTACCTCCTTGAAGATTGGAAGTGTATCTTCTGTGGTTTGAAATGCCAAAATGCTAGCTAGCCTCACCCAAGCTAGCTCTCAGTTCTAACCAGCTGTGTCATATACACCCCATCTATCACAAAAGGTACTAAGGAACTGCATTGGACTGCATCAGCATTCTTCCACTACTGCTAGAAGACTAGAATGTGTAGCAGTGTAGGTTATTATGAGATATATTTTTATATGTCATTTTTAATATGAAATGTAGCATTAAACAATTTATTGCCTTAGAGCACTTCAAACAGTCATTAGATCAGAATGCTATTGATGGGAAACAATTATACAAAGAATAGATTCAATGTTATCTTCATAATACATTGTAAAAATTCTAACTAAACTCCAAATATTTAATATTTCAGAGATTTTTATAAAATAAACAGACCAGTATCTTATTGTTTATTATGTCGTTTGTTTTTGAAATAATCAGAATGAAAGGAGATCCTAAACATTTGAGTTTACTTATATTACACATTGGGTATATTTCTGATTTTTGGAGGTGTTATCAAGCAAGTGTTAGATAGAATTACTCACAGTAATTTTTACTGTGGATCCACAGTTATAGATCTTTTAGCCTTTGATTGTATTAAGTGGCATAAACTTTAGAAAGGTAAGATTGCCTAAATAAGGTCCTCCCTAATGATGTTTTCTGATTTTTCTATATTAGCTAGAGAAATATGTACCAAGGAAGGAGAGTCATCATATAAGGTGGCTTAAAATAGGGACTGAGTAATAAAGATGAGTACTGTTTGAGATATATCCTTGGAGTCCAATGAAATTGAATATAATTGTAGTTATATATAGTAACTCTACCTTCTTGTAGATATTTAGGTGAAAAAAATACAAGGGATCTTTTCAAAACTTTAAATATAATCCCAAGAATTTATAATTAAATGGAAGGAAATCCAGATTTTTTGTTAGATTACTGCTTTTGTGATAGTAAGAGATATTTTTTAGCAAATTATATTTTAAAAATATATTATTTATATTATTTGTTTCCTTGGGAATTTGAGTTGCTGATTATCTATGAAAGAGTTAATGAAAATAGCAATTCTTTTGAATTATGATAGAAGAAATATCTAGCAACTAATATTTATTTGCTCCACCAAAATCTAAATACTAGAAAGCCCTAAAGGAATCTGTTTTTCAGTATCTTAGTAAATCAATATTCAGAAATTGAGTCCACTTCAGCTGGTAGTACTGTAAACCTGATAGTATGTTCAGTTGCCTTTTTTATAGAAAAATGAGTCCCAAAGAAAAAACTGCCACATAATTGTCAATGTTAGACCTAAACTCAAAGCTAATACTCAGCCACATTATAAATCCTAAGGAATGGTCCCCATTTTAGTATTCTGGAATTTGAATATGTCTTACCTTATTTAAAATAAGGTAGTTACTTGCCTCGTCCCCCGCCCCCAGTGTCTTGAGTCTGTTGGTTGTGCTTGTATGCATGCATACAAGTCCTTCCTTTGATCTCTTACCAGCGGGGAGATCATTGGGGGCGGGGGGGGGGGGAGCTGGAGGAGAGGGAGAGACATAGGTACTACTATTTGTAATACTTTAAATAATAATTTTTTTTTTAAAGAAGGTAGTTGTTATCTAGGACAGAAATTATTTTGTAATATGGAGATAAGTAATTTTTTGCAACAGTTTTTGATCTGTATAAGATTTCTAATGTTTCTTGTACTATTAGCAGTAATACTAATAATCTATAAATGAAATAGATATAGATTTCAGACATTTGATAGGAAACATGCTAAATGAGGCAGTTAGATATGAAAAAATACAAAACTAAAGCTAAAATATATGCTTGAATTCCTGTATTGTTAACTAGCATCCCCTTGTGGAAATTTTAAATTATTTATTTGCTTTTCAAGAGTCTCAAGATTAAAATATTAACCAGTGAATTAACTGCAAAATGTTCTTTATAAAATAAAAAAAATCAAACAAATTTTAAAAACCTAAGTTCCAAGTCCTCTTCTAGCTTCTTTTTTCACAACTACTTTTGTTACAAAGAGGAGGTTATACTCATCATCTCTTTCTAGGTATTATTACTTCTTTAACTTGCTTCTGTCAGTCTTTCCCCTAATGCCATGAAGATTCTATCAAGATGTGAAGGAAGGAAGAAAGATCAAATGAATGAAAAGATATATAATACTAAATTGCTTCTCTTGGAACGATAAAGTGTCTTTCATGCTTGGCTGTTAGAACATAGGTAAAATGTAATTGCCTTGAGCTTTTCTTTTGGCTCAAACTTTTCTTAAAAACTGAGAAATTGTTACCTTGCTTTATTTATGACTGAGCCTTTAGAACGGACTGATTGATGAAATTGCATGCTTGTATGAGACTTGTTCAATTGAAGTGAATATAATTGACCTTTCCACAGTAGCATAGCAGTCTAGGCAACTGAATTAGCCTTGGAAGAAAAGCTTAATAAGATATTTCTCATTTTCTGACATGTTTGATAACAATGGCAAATGTTGAAGGATGAATATAGTAATGCATCTTCTGAAAATAAGTATAATTTAATTTTCTTTTAAGAAAATGGAATTTTTCTAGATAAAAATAATTTTTGTGTGTGCTCGTAAACTATCATTTTTGGTAGTGTTTTAGAAATATGTTAATATTAAAAAGGCCTCTAATTATTTCCTATGTTTAGGTGATCCTGCTATCTGGGCTGGGCTAATGGCAGCTTGTTATGCTGATGATAAGCTGGCTCTAGTGAACAACACTCAGCCAAAAAGGATGGATTTGTATTTGGCACTGTTATCTGCTGTTTCTGCTTCAAGTAAGTTTAAAACAGCATTTTTGTAATGATAAATTCAAGATAAAGTATGGTACTCAAAAGATTGTCACCAAGAGGTAATGGAACAATTAGTTCTACACTAAAGGCTGTTATGGTCTTATCTAACAAAGTCTTATTGTGATCCTTATTAGCAACTCTTTCCTTCTCTGTGAACATATATAAATTGCAGAAAATGTAACACTGACGTTTTTTATTTATAGTTAAAGACAAAGAATTCTTCAAAAGTTACAACGAATCTCTGGAAAAGTGGTGTCTCTCCCAAGCTGTCACTGGTCTAGTAGATACAGGAAGAATATCCGAAGCTGAAGCCCTTTGCACAAAGGTATTGTTATGAAATTGAGCATTGAGTTTTATAGATTCTTATCCTATTTAGAAAATAACTTCAGATAGAATGCATGTCATGTAAAGAGCACACAGTAGTGGTGGTGATGGTAGTGGTGGTGGTGGTGGTGGTGGGGGAGGTGGTGATAATGATAATGATGATAATAGCCCCTAACATTTATTATTGATAGTTCCCAACATTTATAATATTGAGTATTTACCACAAGCCAGTCACTACATTTAGTAGTTGGTATTTGAATTTCACAACAATCCTCTGGCAAAGGTATTTATAATTATCCCCATTTTTACAAATGGAAAAACTAGGGCTTAGAGTATAGTTTTTACATTTCTGAATAATAGGCTCTGTGAGTAAATTCTTAGCACCTTACTTAGCACATTGTAAGGGCTCAATAAATAATTACTGAATGAATAGATCAGTTTTATAAATCTACTCAGAAATAATTTAATGGGTTAGGAGAGTTTTAAGCATCACTTTTCCTGAAAATATTAATGTTTCATAAATGTTTACCAGAGAGATTGTGTTGTCTTACTAGAATTTTTTTATAAGAGCAATACAAATTTTTCAAAGAAAGAAGAATGGGTCTTTGAAGATCTCTTTGGCCCTTGAATTCTTAGAAAAGCAGAGTAATAAACTTTCTCTTTTACTTAAGAAATTCCATCTCTGTTCAGTACAGGTTAGTATTTTATAGTGAGAGTTTAGTAATCATAAATTGACAGTTGGCTATGCTCTATCTGACAGAATAAGAAATACTTTTATGAACCTTTCCTGTCATTTTGTTGTTTCAGTAACTTACTTAAAAAAAACAAAAACAATAAAGTACATTTTAGAAATAAATATATTTAAGACTATGACCTCATTAGTAAAAAAACAAAACAAAAACAAAAACAGAAAGAAACATGTCATTGAGATACAAGCTATAAAAGAAGAAATATTTAAAGCAACAGTGGAAGGATTTGGGTAGAGAACTTCCTTTAACTTCTTCCATATGTCTATATGGAAGGAGATACATATACATGTGTACAATACATTTATGTATGTATGTACATGCCTGGTAAATGGGTCATTTCTCTTACTCCCAATGTTATGAAGTCTGTGCCTGAAGGAAGGGCATGCAATGAATACCTAGAGGTTCAAGAAGGACAAAAATTCCACCTCTTTTTTTACATAGGATTGTTTCTTCCAATAAGGCATAGTGTTAGCCTTCACTGTTTATTTTATATATTCTTAGTTCTGCCATTTACATTCAGAACTTAAAGTTCTTAAAATATCACCTGAAAATAAACCAAGTGAAGGTAACATAAATATATAATACATTACTTATATATTATAATAATAGCATTATTGATTTAAAAGATTATTTATATGTAGAGTTTGATATTCCCAAGATGTTCAGTGTTTATTTTGCTTTTTCAGTTGTTTATAATTTTAATAAGAAAAGGTCAAATTTAGATTCTCCTCCCACCCCCCAACATGGGGAATAGCCTAATTGCCTGTTACATTTAACATTTTAACCTATTTTATGTATTTCTGTCTGGGGTTTACATTTAGAATTTAAAAAGTAACCCTGACCAGCCAGCTGTTATCTTACTTTTGAGACAAGTGCAGTGTAAACCACTCCTGGAATCACAAAAGCCTCTCCCGGATGCTGTCCTTGAAGAGCTGCAAAAAACTGTTATGTCCAACCCAACCTCCGTCCCTGCGTGGCAGGTACTTCCTCTCCTTTCTTACATTGAGCGCGGAATTAAAATGCTCTGAACTAGCTGAGGTCAGGGAGATGCTCCATTTTTACTTGTCTTGCCTTTGAACTCACCATAAGTCTCTCACTTTCAAGATTTAAAGGGTGCTGTGATTAAAGGAACTAAAGAAGTTGAATACTAATTTTGGATCTATTGCTATAATACTTTAAAGCTTTCTTAGTTGTTGATTATAAGTTTTATTAATTTAAAATAATGCTGAAAATACTATCTTTGCCTTGGGGTTGATGTAAGAGAATTAAAGAAGTATTTCAAACATTTTTATAATAAGGTTACTATAATGATGTTTAATTCTGCCTCTAGAGGGCATATGTACTTTTTCCTTAGCTATTATACTTTACAATTCACTCATGTCCAAGATTTCAGTGCTAATTTAGTACTTTTAGAAATATTTTCAGGAATGATGTTTGGATCCACAGATTGTCTGCCCTTTTAGCTGGCTCTGGTTATTCACAATGACAAATACACAGTGATGAGTATATGCTTTATTCTTACTGGTTTTAAAATACAAAAAGCACAACAATTACTTTATTCAATTGATTCCATTTCCCTCTGAGAGGAAGTTTCATAAGGACTTTTTAAATGTAGATTTTATAGAAGTTTATTTTACTATAATAGTTTTGTATCCTGATCTTTTGTTAGATGAACTTTTTCATGTCCCTGCTTATTTAATGGCATTTTGTGCCTTATTAGATTATTAGATAATCTAATGGATTATCTAATGGCATTTTTTTATGCTACCTAAGTCTCCTCTTTAATCCTTGAAGAAAAATGGTGCTTCTTTTCTTCTCTTAGAGTAAGTTTGCCATATGAGAGTTAAGATACCTTAATTAAGGTCAACTGGATATTGATGATCTCACTCATATTCTTTCTCAAAGGTAAAAATACCTTGTCAAATAAAGAGATAGTGTGTCTGTATTTTCATATAATTCACAAAGAATGAAGTGTAAACAATATTTAAAATACTTCAAATGGAAGGGAGGGAAAAAGAGAGAGAAACTTCTATGTGAGAGAGAAACATTGATTGGTTGCCTCCAGCATGGCCCTAGGGGATTGAGCCTAAAATCAAGGTTCATGCCCTTGATTGGAATCAAACCCAAAGGCCCTTCAGTTGAGGGGCTGACACTCTTCACTGAGCAAACTGGCTAGGGCCATTCTATTATATCTATATCAAGATACAGAGCATTTCCGTCAACCTGCCCGCCTTTCCCATGCCTCACTTTTGGTCTCCCCCATTTCAAAGCAAGAAAAGGGCCTACTATTCTAACACTTTTATCTAGTTTTGTCTGTTTTGTAATTTCATATAAATGGAGCATTCTTTTGTATATGGTTACTTTCATTTAACATCATATTTAGGAAATTAATTTAGTTGTTTCATGTGGCTATAGGTTTTTTATAAATTTCATTTTATGAATATACTATACTATATATTTCTTTTACTGTTGACATTTGGATTATTTCCAACTTTTGGCTATTCTGATTAATACTGGCTGTGTCCATTCTTGGATGCATCTTTTTGGATCATAAAGTATAGGTATGTTCCTTTTACATATTGCTGGGGTCCATTTGTTAATACGTTTGTTTAGAATTTTTGTCCTTCTATTCATAAGAGTGTTTGCCTTTTAATTTTTCATTCTCTTAAGGTTCTTGCAAAGAATAGGTATTCTGCAGTTACTGAGTATAGTCTTCTAAGTATTGCATTTAATCAAGCTGGTTCATTATATTTAAACTAGAGGTCTGGTGCATGGATTCATGTACCAGTGGGGTCCCTCAGCCTACCCGTGGTGATCAGGCCAAAACTGGCTCTCCCACAATCCCCCAAGTGGTCCTGGACTTCAAGAGGATGCAGGCCAGGTCGAGGGACCCCACCGGTGCACGATTGGGATCAGGGAGGGACCCATCTTGCCCAGTCCTGATTTGGGCCTAATGGGGCCGTCTGGCCAGGTAAGGACCACAGGAGGTTGGCCAGCTGGGAAGGGACTGTGGGAGGGCTCCAGGGCATGTCCAGCCCATCTCACCCAGTCCCGATTAGCTGGACCACTGCAGCAACCTAATCTACTGGTCAGAGCGTCTGCCCCCTGAAGGTCAGTGTACGCCATAGCGACCAGTCGAACAAACGGTTGGACATTTAGCATATTGGGCTTTTATTATATAGGATATAATGTACCTTTACTAATTTTTGTCTTTTTAAAAAAATTATTGTTGAGATAGGTGTGTTTAATTCTCCAACTATGATTAAGAATTTGTCTATTATTCCTTTTATTTCTGTCAATTTTTGTTTCATAAATTAGGTATATACAAATGTAGGAGTGTTATTTCTTCCTGTTGAATGCTATTTCCTCTCTTAACCTGGAATTTTTGGTTTTGAGACACAAAACTTAGCAATAATTTAAAAAAACTCAACTTCATCAAATTTTATTGAATTTCTTGTAAGTAGAATATCACAACCTTTTGGATGCTTCTTTTTTCTGTTTCCCAGTGGTTGGCGCACATCTATCAGTCTCAAGGAATGATGGGTGCCGCAGAGATGTGTTATAGGAAGAGTCTGCAAGTTGCATCCCAGCAGGGCAGTTGGAGTGGGAAGTTGTCGAGTCTGTTGAGGCTAGCTCTGCTCGCATTAGAAGTCTGCATGGTAAGGCCATGTTGTAACTGTGATCATCAAAATTGATTCTTTTTTCTCTCAGGTGAAAGCTTTTTCTATTATGATATCCTAGTTCGTTCCTACCCTGTTTCCCCGAAAATAAGACAGTGTCTTATATTAATTTTTGCTCCCAAAGATGCGCTAGGTCTATTTTCAGGGGATGTCTTATTTTTCCATGAAGAAGAATATGGTACACGTTTATTGTTAAATGAAAATAAAGGAAATTTATTACATGTATACGGTATAGTAGTACGTAGTTGTCAATACAAACCAGACAAACTGTGAATCCTACAGTATCAAGAATTTACTCATTTTTTCAATGACAATCATGTCGTCATCTTCTGGAACATCATCATAACAGTCCAATTCCTGAATTTCCTGGTGAATTTCTTGTGACTCCATTTCTTTCAGAATCAGTGGATCAAATCTCTCATGTTTAGCAATAGCACTGTCTTTAAATGAGTACTTCTTGTCAAGGTAGCCTGCTCGCAGTGCATTTGCAATGCAACTGTCAGTGATTTTCTCCCATGAATTCTTCACCCAAGTCACAACTTCTTGCAGTTTAGGTTTCACTAAGTTTCCACGCTGATTTCTCTCCATTCTATTTTCATTGTAGTCATTAATTTCCATGTGCAAATTGTCTTTGAATGGCTTGTTTATTGCAATATCAAGAGTCTGGAGATAGGCCGTCATTCCTGCAGGAATCATTATCTGATCTATTTTTCTTTCGTGAAGAAATATTTTCATGTTTTTAGCGCGGTGAGTGCTGGCTGCATCCCAGACTAGCAGACCTCTTTGGCTCCCTCGCATAACAAGCAGCAGCATTAAATTGACCCACTTCCTTATAACTGCTTGTGTGGCCCAGGCTTTTTCAGTTTCAAGGATAAAAACGCCCAAAACACGTTCAGTCTCTTCCTTCTTGCCCTTAGAAATGATTAAAGGTAGGATTTTAGTGCCATCCAGACGAATTGCCAAAATACAGGAAACACGTGCACTTTCGTAAGCAGTGGAGGGAATGGAGCCTAGGGGGGGCCTTATTTTCAGGGAATGCCTTATATTTCACTCAGAAGGAAACCTGTAAGTAGGTCTTATTTTTGGAGGATGTTTTATTTTCAGGGAAACATGGTATTGTTTCATTGCTTTCTAGTGTGGTCTCCTGATAAACTTTGTATTTGGACTCTTGGTAGACGTAAGAGTAACATAAACCCTTAGACTCTAGCCAAACCTTCTCAGTGTTTGGAGAAAAAACACAAAGATTTCAATTTTAAGTTGGATTATGTTTGTCTATTGGTGGTTTAAGTTAGTATTAACCCAGTTATTCATCTGTGACGGAAATGCCAATAATTAACATTTTCACTCATTTCTCAGTTCAGTTTGACATTCTGTAAACGGGATATCTGGTAATTTTTTACTTGACATCCTATTTTAGGCTTATTAATCTAAAAGTATTATATGCTAGGGTGAAAAACTCTTCAAGATAAATGTTTACGTGGATATGTGGGGATGCAAACTGCAAAGCAAGATGTATATTTTATTGGAGTGTGGTGTATATTTTTAAGAGTATATATCTCTGAATGCATTGTGTGTATGTGTGTACATATTTTTATATAAAAGATATAAAAGTTACTTTGGATAATATAGCACTGGGAGGATATAAGGAATGGTAGAGGATAATTTTTTATTTTATTTCCTTTGATAGTGTTTGAATTTTTTTTATCATAGGCATGTGACTTCTATAATTAAAAGGTAAACTGTCTTTTTTTGTTTGTTTTAAAAGATTAGAAGAAATTGTTCTAGACAGGACTGAATTCACTCATACTTTCACACTAGTAATCCACTGCCAATACTTGTTTTAACGAGACAATTTGACAAAGAAATATAAGAATTAGGACGTTTTTGGCTTTGGTGCTATCAAGCACATTTGGGGGTTCCTTAGGTCAGGGGACATATTTTGGTCATCTTCGCATCCTTGCTTTACCACTCTGCCTTGTTCCTAAAAGCTCCTCAATAAATGGTTTTTGAATAAATGCACAAATAGTAAAGGTAGTCAATTTGAGGTGATTTGGGTGGAAAGAAATTGTGGTTAATGGTAATTGTATGCCACTAAATGTTTTGTTTTGTTTGTCCCATATTTATATTTAACAAAGGTCTGTGACGTCGGTAGCTGGTGAGCTGTGGAAGCCACAGAGAGCACCTATAAATGCTCTTGAATATGTGAACTGGAGAAGTATATATTCTTTTAGCCTAACATTATTTTTAGTTAATAAATTATTTAGTAGTGTGCTTGTTTTGTTTGTTCTTAATGCTGGGAAATTAAATCTGACCTGGAATAAAACAATAATAGCAAACATATCTAGCACTTAGCTTGTGGTAGACACTTGTTATAGTGTGTTATAGTGCTTTACACATATTAACTAACTTAATATGCACAATAACCCTATTTTACAGGTGAGGAAATTAGCTTGCAGTTTAGTAATAACTGTATATACCTGCCCCAACCCCCAACTACCACCACAAAAGTACTTTTTCTAAAAATCTTGCTCCTGGTTCTCACTACCTGTGAAACATTCAGCCAATTAAGCTGTTTAGAGTCTGTCCACTTCACTTCTTTTCTTTTTGTAATAGTGGAGATAATAACTGCTTTCTTATAGAGTTGTTATGAATATCAAATAACATAACATTTACAAATGTTTTTGTGAAATTTAAGGCACTATCTAAAACAAGCACACCACTAAATAATTTTTATTAGTTAACAAAAAATAAGTGAAACTAAAAGAGTGTAAGTTATACCTCTAAGATTAGATACCCATCAATTATTATAGGGAGATGCCATATTTCTATAGTAGCTAGATGGCAGTGTGTAGAAGAGGAGTATATTAAAATTAGACTGTTTTGCCAAAACCGGTTTGGCTCAGTGGTAGAGCGTCGGTCTGCGGACTGAAAGGTCCCAGGTTCTATTCCGGTCAAGGGCATGTACATTGGTTGCGGGCACATCCCCAGTGGTGGGTGTGCAGGAGGCAGCTGGTCGATGTTTCTCTCTCATCGACGTTTCTGGCTCTCTATCTCTCTCCCTTCCTCTCTGTAAAAAATCAATAAAATATATTTTAAAATTAGACTTTTATAATAGCCTACTGTATGTGTGGTATATATGAATAGAGTATTAGACTGAAAGATGTAGATTAGAAGATTTCAGCTGGAGAAGGATTGTGAAGCCTTCACCATCTTCTCTCTGGCACATTTCCACACAGAAACGCCCACTGAGAAGGAAGGAAGGGTTGTCAGAGAAAGGGAGGCCTTGAAGTCTGACCTTTGAGGTCCTAGAGGCACATGTCTAAGAGCACACACAGGTATCTGACACCTTCCTCAGACGCCATGGCCCTCCATCCTCTGTGGGAGCGCAGAGAAAGAGTTGCTAGGGTTTTGGGAAGTGACTGCATGCTCTGGGAGAGAGGAAATGGCAGTGAGTGAATCTCAGAGGTGGGTAGGAGTATATGTCCAGGTACAGGAGGCCATGAAGGAGCAGCATGGGACCAGCTGTATGCCTGGAGTTTCTCAGAGTCAGGAATGAGTGATGCCAAGTATGAGAGTAGAGTGGAGTTCTCTTTGATCCTGTCCAGTAGGACGACTTAGAGGAGGGATGAAATCTCAGGAGAAAGGAAACTAGAAGTTTCCAGATTGTAAAGATGTGAAAAGATTAAGTGGAATAACATACATTTACCCATCAGTGGAACTTCAGATTAGCAGGACTATTTCATGGGGTTGCACAGGGCTCCATACTTGGTTTAATTTTTATATTCTACTGTTGCTTTCTTGAAATTCTTAATCATTTTTTAACAAAAGGCCCTGCTTTTTTATTTTTCACTGTGCCCCTGAGGTTACATAACTATCCTGCAGATAAGAAACTGCTCATGAAGTTGGGAATCTCTGATAAAGCCAAGAAAGTCTGGATGAGACAAGGCTTTAATTATTTGTTAGGCCTAGAGAGCTAAACATCTTACAGTAACACCAGTCAAATGCAGACTTCAGGTATTTTAGTATATGGGCCTGAAACCACAATTAGCAAGAAAAGGTGGGAGCTTTGGGAAGATGAACAAGCAATCTCCTGCTGCCTGTAACCATATCCTAGCTGGGTGCTGAGGAGTGAGATGCAAATATTATCTTTACTAGTAAATGAAGATTGAAGTATTGAAGGGAAGAGGACATTCTAATTAAGACCGTGTTTATAAATCAGTGTAAGAAAAATGACTGCAGGAGTTATGGGACCTACTGAAATTTATATCGAGGAACAGAGGAAAAATCTTTCTTATATAATAAATTCTAAAGACATAATGGGAGACAAGAATAAGTACATTCTAATCATATTGCTTAGCATACCTTATGTAATAATCTTTGGGCTAACTTTACAAAATACTTTATATACAGTCTTGGAATGTGTAGGGTATATTATAAAAACAGCCAGTGAATTTGTGGTTTTTGTTTGAAAAAAAATCTATTCAGAATAATTACATTAGTGTGGGTTTTGACTTATTTATTTATTTTTTTTGTCAGGTGTACCCAAAGTCTCATTGCTTCTGTCTTTATAGATGATGCCTCACAACCTGTGTTCTTTATTTTCAAATTCTTTATCTTTATAGCTTCCTCTTCCTTAATTACACAAATTACTATTGCCTGCACTACCCTCAAAGTTTATTGCTCTTCTTTTATTATTTAGTTTTTTAAATGGATTATGCATTGACTCATTTTTACTTTATTAAAATCTGTATTCTAGCTACCTATAATTATGAAATCTTTATTACAATTTGAGTTTTTAATGAAAGTTTTTAAACGCATTTTTCTTCCTGCATAATTCAGTAGTGTGTTCAAGTATTTCATTTCAGCCTTTCCTCTCACCTTAGATAATTTTTGAAATGTGGAACTTTATATTTATTATTTATTAAATTTAGTTTCGTGCATTTGTTGACCATAGGCTTAGTAAGTGATAGATTTTATTCACCATATAATAGAATAGTGCATTTTCTCTTAACAAATATTTTATTTTTAAGTGATATCTCCTGGTTGAAACTTTCCTTTACTCCACTCTACTCCGTTATCTGGCTCCTTAAGGGCAGGGATCAGATCTCAATCGTTTTGTAGAATTATGCTCCCTATAGCATTTACACGGCAACTTGGACAAGTAGGCATTCAATAAATGAGAGATGAATTGCATTCTTTTAAGATAAACATGTCAAAAGCTTTGATTTGATATTTGTCTTATATTTTTACAGGCCAACATTTCAAATGATCACTGGCCATCCTTGGTTCAGGAAGCTACAACTGAGGCCTTGAAGCTTTGCTTTTGTCCGCTGGCTATCCTTTTACAAGCTTTGCTACAGTTCAACCGCAAAATGGGGGCAAGGTGTGAAGAATCTTTGTTAACTTTTTTCCCTTGGAAATATTTCTTTTAATCCTTCTGGAAGCAAAGAAAGATTTAGAATGAGTTTAACAACTTTGTCATTATTCATATATTATATTTACATCTACTTTAGAAAGGCTGTTTCTATTACCCAGTAAGGGAGAAAATAAGCTTTACATTTGTTTTTTAAACATAGTTTGGTCCACACATACAGAATATGAGATTTGGCATGACAGTATTTCAAGTGAAGAAGGCCTGGGAATTTGTTCTTTAATGTCTTAGGTTGAGCCACTTGTGTAATGTGGATGCTAGAAAAAAAATGAAAAGACCCATGTTCAAGGCTGATTGAGATAAGTTTTGTAAGGCAGTACACCATGAAAAAGGTAATACACATTGAAAAGACGCAGAGACATAAATAATGTGAATTTTATATCTAGAAAATAAAAAAGTTCCTCAGATTAAAAAAAAAAAAGTAATCTTTTTATTGGAGGGTGGGGATGGGGTCCGAAATAAATTTTTAAAAAGTTACTTAGCCCAGCCAGTGTTGCTCAGTGATTTAGTGTCGACCCATGAACCAAGAGGTCCCCAGGTCGATCGATTTCTTATCAAGGCACAAGCCCAGTTTTCCAGTAGGAGGCAGCCGATCGATGTTTCCCTCTTATCAACATTTTCATCTCTCTATCTCTCACCCTTCCTCTCTTTCTAAAAAATCAATAAACATATTTTAAAAATAAGAAATGGTAATATTAAAAAAAAAGAAAGAAACTTCAAAGTGATATGGATGATAAACCAGGCAAGAATGTTTTAAAATCCTAAGAATAATGCCGAAACCGGTTTGGCTCAGTGGATAGAGCATCGGCCTGCGGACTGAAAGGTCCCAGGTTCAATTCTGGTCAAGGGCATGTACCTTGGTTGCAGGCACATTCCCAGTGGGGGGGTGTGCAGGAGGCAGCTGACCAATGTTTCTCTCTCATCCATGTTTCTAACTCACTATTCCTCTCTCTTCCTCTCTGTAAAAAATCAAAATCCTAAGAATAGTGTCTAGCTCTAACCTATATCACACATAACCCAAGGCAGCCATGGTTTTAGAAGCATACACTGTTGGCACAGAATAGGAAGTATAGACATAGAGCTTAAGGCATATACATATATGGCAGAGACATTGAACCTCACAGAATAGGAGTGAAGGAAGAATTAAGAAATAAGGCTAATCAGCAATTTCATCACCACTTACTAATATTTATTTATGGCCAATTTTTATATTACTGATTTTACCAAAAATGTTTTGATTGTGCTCAGAGTGGGTTACTTAAAGGGTCTTAACCCCCTTACCCTCGTAATCTCTGTTAGTACCTGTCATAACTTTCATCACCACTAAAATCATCCCAGATAAACATACAGTCTACAACAACAGTGTGCTCACTATGTAGTTTCTATGTAAGAACATCCTCAAGACAAATTCTTTAGCTCCTGCTTCAAACCAGTGCTACTTAGCAGATCCTCCTGTTCAGCAGCTCTGAGTTACCACTATGTTTCTTCTACCATTACAGAAGTCTCTGGAGTCATAGGAAATTAGGAAAGAAAAAATTAGAACACAGCTGTAAATCAGTCTGTTGTTATGTGGGTTCCCACATTGTACACATCCTGGAAAACATAAACTAAAAGTCTGATAGTATACATTTAGGCTCTAGTATAGAGGTTGAGTATTTTTTCTTATTCCACTCTACACTATGTATAATTTATTTATTTATCTTCTGCCTATTTAAAAAAAATATATTAGAAGTAGAACACTCAGAAGTACTCATAAAATAGTGACCTTTTCTTTATTCTATTTGGAATGAGCCTTAATGGGAATAATAACAGCAATCTGCCTTATAAGGTTATGAATATTAAATGAGACCATATATGTAAAACATTAGACATACATAGTATATAATAATCACTGTATAAATATTAACCATTATTTTTTTTTTAAATATATATATTTTATTGATTTTTTACAGAGAGGAGGAGAGAGGGATAGAGAGCTAGAAACGTCGGTGAGAGAGAAACATCGGCCAGCTGCCTCTTGCACACCCCCTCCCGGGGATGCACCCGCAACCAATGTACATGCCCTTGACCGGAATTGAACCCGGGACCTTTCAGTCCGCAGACCGACGCTCTACCACTGAGCCAAACCGGTTTTGGCAAATGTTAACCATTATTAACTTTATTGTTATAAGTATAAGAGATTCATAATTAGCAACTGGTCTACAAAAGAATAAAAAGATAATGTGTGTGAGAGACTAGTATATGAATTATTTTCTATTAATGTATATGCTTTGGACTAAATGTGAATATCTTTTTCCCCAGAGAGACACGGCGACTTTTGGAGAGACTGGTATATCAGCCTGGCTATCCCAAATCTATTGTATCAACTGCACGTTGGTACCTACTGAGGCACTTACATGCCAAAAATGATGGCGAGCTCATTAATGTAAGGCACTGACTTTACTCAGAATATATCATGGATTTTTGTTGTAAGAGGGGCGAGGGTTTCTGTCCTCTGCATTGTAGGATTTTGGCAGCATCCCTAACCACTCTAACTATTGCATCCCAGTAGCACTGTCCTCTTTCCTCCTTCCAAATTGTGACAACCAAGATTGTCTTCTAGACATGCCCAGTATGCCTGAGCTGAAATTATCCCTGTCTGAGAACTACTGATTTAACCTGTAGGAAGTATATCCTCCTCATGTGATATGTAGCAGAAGAGAAGCTAGACAATTGTGCTCGGTGCTGGTTGTGGTGTTTCTTGTGATCATTGCCATGGAAGCAAATAGGTAGACAAGATACATTCAGAAGCAGCAAAATTTAGTAGTATATTCATATTATCTTTAGAAAAATTATTTTACTACACCTTGTTTTTTCTGTAAAATGCATGGAATAATTTCTATTCTACTTCTCAGGGGATGACTCTGGTCTCTAAATATGTAAACATGCATATATCTACAATTCTTTTTAAAAACATAGTTTATATAATACATACATGTATTGCATTCAGATTCTCAGAACTTCAGCCAGCAATTTTTAAAACACAATAAAAATGAATGAAAAGCTTATAAAATATCTACAGCATTTGAAATACTGTTTGCCATTTATTTATTTAAAATATATATTGATTTTTTTTTATTTTTTATTTTATTTTATTTTTTTTACAGAGAGGAAAGGAGAGGGATAGAGAGTTAGAAACATCGATGAGAGAAAAACATTGATTCAGCTGCCTCTTGCACACTCCCTACTGGGGATGTGCCCACAACCAAGGTATATGCCCTTGACCAGAATCGAAATGGGATCCTTGAATTCGCGGGCCGAAGCTTTATCCACTGAGCCAAACCGGTTAGGGCAATACTGTTTGCATTTTAGTGAAACATACAATGTTAAAGAAATATTAATGAAAACAATGTTAGATTGAAGGCATTATAATCAAACATATTGCAAACCAGAAAGGAAGAACTTGTATGAATCTTGGGAGACAGTTCACCATGCATGCGTCTGTTGCATTTCTAAACATCCTACCAGCTGAGGGTCTGACTGCCTTTTGTTCCAGACTATCTTTTCAAGGGTGTATGTGTAGTGACAGCCTTGGGAGACAGAGATATGTCTCCCTCCAGAGCAAAGGATAAGCCTGCTTACTGCCTGTTATAAAAGACTCAAGTGTCCTGGGCTTAGGGCTCCCCTCTTGTCATACACAACAGAATGTATGGGTGAAGTTATATGTCCATTCATGTCACCCCCATGAGACTTGGAGGGCAAGGGGAACATATGCAAATATGTTGATGCTCATGTTGTTGGCTGTACCATGAGTAATGCCATGGCCAGCTAACTTACTGCCTTGCGAGTAGAGCAAAATCTCGGTCTCTTCATTTGTTTGAAAATGAACAACCAAAAACTGTTAATAGTAGAATGATCAACTGAAATTAAATCTTCTATTTTGTGGAATTGCTGAAAATCATCGAAAGGTTCTTGATAGAACCTAAGCTGTGCTTTAAAGGAGAGCAATGTCGTTTGTACAGTTTTTTGTTTTTTTGTGTGCATAAAATGGCCTTTGGGGCCTAAGTATTTAGAGGTGACAGCATTGTAAACAAAGCTGCCAAACATAACCTTTAATTTTATAGAGTGCTGACAGTGGTAACAGTCAAAATGTTGGCATTTATATGAAGTAAATATTTGAATAAATTGTGTTTATCACTGATGTTTGCTCTGGTTGAATAATTTGTTTCAGCAAAAATGACTGAAAGATTCTACACAGTCACATTTTTTGTGTAATTTAATATTGCCTGCTGCTCTTAGGCATATTTTGCTTCTATGAATCTAAATATAGATACTTTTAATGAACAAAGTACTAATGTTCCTGTTTGTGATTTCCTACAGGTGCTGGTAAACGATGCCAAAACTCATGGAGATACAAGAGCACTGGACCTGAATCAAAAACTGTCCTCATAACGACAATGTATTTTTTATATAAAGCAAGCAAAGAAAAGCTGTTAGAGTGAAATAATGAATCTGTACTCTTCCCCAAAGCAACATTTTTAAAACTATGTGTTATTGATTGCTTTTTTTTTTTTTTAAATATAAAGATGTTTAAGTTCTTAAACTAAGGCTGTCATTTTCCACGAACTGTAATGTAACTTTAATCTGAAAAACAGCTTTGATTGAGAAGTCTATAATAAGAGGAAAAACCATGATTCCCTTAGTTATTCAACTGTTATTTGTAAAGCATTTTTTCCATTTGCATGGTGCACAATAGGATTTTTTGTGTGATCCCTTATAATAAAGCCTTAATAGTCGTTTTCTAAATAATATGCAAAAGCAAATTAGCACAATGAAGACTTTAGTTTCTTTTATGGATTTTTAGAGTCCAGCTCATCAAATAATCTTATGATCTATTTTATTAGTAGTTGACCTCGATAAAGCATGATACAAGTGTTGGTGAGTCCTAAATTGCTAATGGACATGTTTATATAATTCAAGACATTCAGGTGTATGACTGCATTTTTAAAAAAATGAATGGAAATTTTGGAATATAATGCTGACAATTGATCATGTAATTCCTTCAATTATGATGAAAATACTTGAATTTTCTGAAATAAAAAAAATATAGTGTCATTTTCTTTATACTATCAATATCAGATATAATTTTTAATTTTTTGAAAGCACATTTACTTATTTTATTTCAATTTTTCAAAAAGCCATTTATATATTTTTGAAAAAACTGTATGTCACTTACTTTGAATGAATGTTTTAAAATGTTTTTAGATATTTACATATATTATTTATTGTATAAAAATGTGTGGTTGTATTTTATGTATGTAGTTTTTCCATGCCAGCACCTTCACAATGCTAATTTGTGAGATAAGTTGATAATATTCTATAATTAAATTTTACTTTGGAGGTTAATCTGTTGAACTACTTTTAATTTGATGAACTCCAAACTTTAGCTGAATATTTCATTATTCAGACCAGTGCAATAAGAATATTTAAGGATGGTGCCGAGACCGGTTTGGCTCAATGGATAGAGCGTCGGCTTGGGGACTGAAGGGACCCGGGTTCGATTCCGGTCAAGGGCATGTACCTTGGTTGCGGGCATATCCCCAATGGGGGGTGTGCAAGAGGCAGCTGATCAATGACTCTCTCTCTCATCGATGTTTCTGGCCTTCTATCTCTCTCCCTTCCTCTCTGTACAAAATCAATAAAATATATTTTTTAAAAAAATATTTAAGGATGGGACCTAGGTCTCTGCATTTTAAGGGTGTGCCTGAGAAATTCATATGCCCATTCAGGTTTATGTACCACTAGATTAATCCAATGATGATCCTCCCATTTATTTCTTCTCCTCACGCATGTCCAACTGATTCTGTGCTTCAGCAGCCTGAGTTGTAGACTTAGCCCAGCTGTGCTGTGAGATGCCAGTGCAGCCAGTGCCCGAGCCCTCCTGCTCCTCCCTCAGGGCAGCACTCGGCCTTTACCTCCGGGGCAGGCTGTCCTCCTCTGCTTAAATGCTTGGGACTCAGTTCTAGGTCTCCATCCGCTTCCAGGGGATCACTTCACAAGGGAACTTTATCTGTAGTGTGGAGTGGTTAGCCTTAGCTCCCAGCCTACAATCAAAGAGTAACTCTGTTTCCTAGTTTTGGCCTTCAGGGGCCTCAGATCCAGGTTTTTCTAAAAGGCAAGACTGGGAAAAATAACTTTACCCTACTATCTCGGGTGATGCTTTTTGACATAGATGTACACACATCCTCTTCTTGTTTATTGCCTTTTCAAATTACTGTCCAGTTACTCTGAACCTTAAATCACTATGATTTTTACAGACCTTACTTCATGCAGACCTGTGCTAAATGTTTTAAACATTGCCATTTAAGCCTAGTTAGCAAAGGAGAGAGGTGCTAAACAGTATGCTTAAAACAGAGGAAATTCCCAGTGAATCAGTGCTATTAGATTCTAGGAATTTTAAAATCTTTCTTAGCTTTGAAAGACCTTGCCCTCCAATTAATTCCTATGGAGGCATTCTCATAACAGCTCATGGGTGTGCATTTGTTTCTGAGGGTTTTTTGTTGGTGTTGTATATACTTAAAAGCCTCCAAGTCCTAGGTGATAGAATCTAGGCATAAAGACTAGCTAGATCGCTGGGAGTAGCATTGGTTTTGGGTTGCAGGGGTCAGTTGTTCAGCACCATTCGCACGCCTCCATGTTGGCACCTCTCACTTGAAGTCCATCTCTGAAGGTTTCCCTTGTGGATAGAGTGCCTTACTCTCGGAGAGGCAGCTGGAAGTTGGATACTAATGGTTTTTATCTTGCCCATTTCCCGTCAATGACCATAATGTTTCATCCGCTGTTAGCCTCCCTTCTCAGAGACAAGGGAAAGAAGTGCTTTTAACGCAGAGGGACAGTTTCTCATTTTAATTTTGTTCCAGGAGAAATCTATATTTTGCAATTTCTGCTTTGCTCCACTCCTAGAATTATTTCTTCTCATATACAGTAAAAGGACCTTTTGAACTCAAATATTTTTAGATACTGATCTTAATCAGAGTTGGACAAAGAGTACCATGGAACTTGTCTTTCCCATAAAACTCAAAAGCTTTATTACTAGAGGCTCTATGCGCAAAATTTGTGCATGAGTAGGCCTTCAGAGTCCTGGCTGCCTCAGCCCTCGCAGCCCTGGCTTCATTCAGAAGGATGTCCAGACGGTCATTTCCCTGTTCAGCAGTCCAGTCGATTTGCATATTATGCTTTTATTATTATAGATCATTAATCAGTACAGTTTATCAGGAGCAATAGATGCTAGGTATCAGACAATGCAGTAGATGCTGTGCATATATTTAGAGAAACAATATAGCAGAATGTTCACCAGTCAGAGTACTTGTCTGAATTGCTAAATTCAAATCCTGGCTCCATCTCCTACTAGCAGTGAAACCTTGCATAATTATCTAATGTTTCTGTGTCTCTAACATCTGTCTGGAGTATTAAATTAGTTCATCCAGTGTTTAGAAATAGCTCAATAAATGTTTTCTTAATTCTTCCAATAATGTACAAGGTAGGTATTTTTATCCCCACATATTTTTAATCCTCACCCAAGGATTTTTTTTAAAATTGATTTTAGAAAGAGAGGAAGGGAGGAGGGGAGAGAGAGAGAAACATTGATATGAGAGAGAAACATCAGCTGTTTCCTGCATTCAACCCAACCTGGGACCAAACCCACAACCTAGGTATGTGCCCTGACTGAGAATCAAACCCACAACCTTTTGGGGTATGGGATGATGCTCTAACCAACTAAGTCACCCAACCAGTTTCCCCATTTTAAGATGAGGAATCTAAGACTCTGAAGTTAAAGAAGATAAAGTCATAGACAGTGACTGGGTGGCGCTGGTTTTAAATTCAAGTCTTTTAATACCTCAAGTCTCTTCCAAAACTTCCAAGCACAGAAGTTTAGCTTGTTTTTCTGTTTTCTCAGTTTGTCTACTGGACTGTAAAAGAAAACCCAGTTTATGACATATTGCTGCGCACTCAATTTTTACTCACACCATTTATCATGTGTAAATACCTTCTGAAAATGAAGTAGCAGAATTCTGCCAAGGATGGAGAGGATGTTATGGAAATTTAGTCCATGGAGTTATAAAATTTCATGACTTTGTATTCATAGCTGGGTAGGGGCCAAAACAGCCTAATATTTTCCCTGGCAATTGTCCTGCTTCTCCCAGGAGGGCTTGCTACCTTCTTTTTGTGGAAGGAGATGCACTTGTTTTATGGCTTGGAAAAGAACTTGGGAAGGTATTACAACCATTGCCTGCAGAGTTGTGTGGTTTACCCAACTTTTCAAGTTTACAGGGTAAGTAGGTTTTAAAGTATCACCAGTAGAACTCCAAGTTGATTGTTGGCTCATCAGGCAGCAGAAACTCCCACGGAAGCCTGAAACCCTCAGACGACACTGCTCCCCCTTCAGTGCTGCCTACACGTTCTCACCTGGGGGCTTCACGGCTCCTCTGCCGCCTGTCCTTTCAGTGTTCGGTGCCCCTGGAGTTCTTGCCGAGACTCGATTATTTACTGAAGTCTTCATGTCCCCTTCCTTCACCCAACCCCAGACAATCCCTTCCTCACCCATCACTCCAACAACCATTTCTGTGCTAAATCCTCAGCTCAGATCTTTCATGCTCCTGGTGTTTATCTCTCACTCACCACTAGACATACCCACTTAGACACCCCCTAGATACTTCAAAATCAATTCGTTTGGAAGTGAGCTCACTATCCTCTTCCTCCTGTATCATCTCCCTCCTTTCCCACCAGATTTGCTTCTCCCAGTGTCAGTAATGTTTCTTCACATTACAACCAGAGAGATCTCTCTAAAATGCAAATCTGATGTCATCCTATTGGAAATCCTTTAAAGTCTCGTCTGCGCTCTGAAGATAAAGCCCACGTTCTTCAACATGAGTTAGAAGGCCTGTTGTGATAAACACCCCACCCTCACCTCCAACTGCCACAGCCCTCTCTATCACTGTTTACTTCCCCATTCTTCTTCCCCAACCTTCACCACACACACTTCACCCTCTGACACACACACGGTATCCCCCCAACATTGTGTATACACTTTAACAGCTAATACCTCAGTTTTGAAAATGAAAAGTATTTTAATAAACACCACCTTTACAATTATTCCAAGAGTGTGTGTACAGGTTTGGGAACATTTCTGGCATGTGTGCCGTTGTCTTGGTCGCCAGGTCTTTGCTCAGGCTGCTCCACCCAAGCTCCCACGTCTACCAATATCTAGCCCCTTTCCCTTGGCTAATGCCTAATTATACTGCTTAGAGCTTTCCAGTTAGGTCCTTTTCTTATGCCAAATGGCTCTTGTAAGTGTTCGCATTACACCCTTTACGTGACCACACATCTGCAAGCAAAGGTCCCCTTGCCAACGTTATGAAAACCTTTGAAGTTAGAAATTACTCCTTGATCTA